CCTGCCCTCTGTCTTCCCTGACCACGGCTCCAAGGCTCCCGCCCCACTCCTGCATGTCCCACCCTCACACCCCGCCCACATCCAGACCTGCCCCAGTGAACTCATCCTTCCGACACACCCTGCCCTACCATACCCCACACTCACCAGCACATGCCACACCTGCTCACTGGCCCTGCGGAAGCTGCAGAAGCGCACGCTGGCACCCAGTAGGCCCTGGCCGCCCCACATGTTGCTGGGTACCACCTCCACCTCGCGCACCCTCATGGTCTTCATATTGAACACCTCCAGCTTCACGGGCTTCTCCACATTGGCTTTCAGTAGTGCCTTCAGTGTGTCATTCTCTTTGTTCTGTGGGGGCAGTGGGGCTGACTCCAAGGCCACCCCATGCCCAGGCTAGGACCCTCAGATAAGTCTGGGCCTGAGATGGGGCAAGGGCCTTAGTGGGCAGCAGCCCCCAGCAGGGTCACTGTGGGGATGGGCCAAGGTAGTGGATGGGCCAGGTTCACAGACCAGGGTTAAGCCTGTAGCCACTGGGACCCCTACCTCCCCCAAGCACTGCCAAACCTTCCTCAGCCTGCCAGAAAAAGCAAGCAAAAAGCCTCTGGGATCCACAGCATTCCAGTGCTGCCCCACTCTGAGCTGCCCCTTGGCCAGGGCCCTCATATCCCTCACGCCCAGGAGGCAGGCCCCATGGGCCTGTGGCCACCTCCAAGAGGCCATCTGTCCTCTGTCCACCCCAGAGAGCTCAGAAGCTGAGCACTGGGCAGGGCCCCAGTCAGGCTCTAAGTACAACCCTGGCAGAAGGGGAGACAGGGCTGGGACTCCCTTTAGAAAAAAAGGGAGGGAAGGGTAGACTGGGGCCTGTGGGACAGATGGAGACACACAAACACACACAAGCAAGCAAAGCAGAGGCAGGGTTGGGGAACCTCACCAGCCTCGAGTGCCCAATGGTGATGATGAAGTCAAAATAGGGCTCCAGGCCCGCCTGCTGGGCTGGGGAGTTCTCCTGCACCTGTCCCACAGCAAAGGCCACAGTCACTGCGCCAACCCTGGGACTCTCCAAGTAGCCCTCTCCCCCATTTCAGGAACCATCAGCACTCCCAGTGTGCCAGCCAGAACACATGCCTGGCGTGAACTGTTCTGGGCATTCTCAAGGTTCACTCCATGGTCTCTTGCTACCTTCCTGAGCAAAAATTTTCCTCTTAGGAAAATGGCTCCTTCCTGATTATGATCCATAGATGCTTTCAGAAATGGCTTATAGCCCAGGACATCATTAGGGGCTCCCAGGAGGCAGTATGGAGACAGGCTGGCCCAGGCCTGTGGGAATGCTGCTCTAGAGGGCTGGGCTAGGGTTGGCTGGAAAGCCAAAAGGATTTACCAGAAAGGTTTAGACTGGACAAGAAGGGAGGGCCCTGATGTGCAGTGGAAGTGGGCAGGCCTCAGGAGGGATATACCCAGGGCTGTGCCCAGAAAGAGGAGTGGCAAAGGCAGCTTGCAGCCAGATCCCAGGGGTCCCCAGCCTCTGGGGTGGGAGACCCAGGCTCAGTCCAGCAGGTAATGAAAGCCACTGGCAGAGGAGCAGACCCCAAGGGTAGAACTGGGCCTGAGCCAGGGAGCCCAGTGAGTGGGCAGTGCCAATCCCCACACCCTGGCTCTGGACTGAGGAGCCTCCCACTGGCTCAGCTACCCTACCAGCCTCATAGTGTAGCCTCCATGCCTGTGCAGGACACCTCCTCCAGGAAGCATTCCCAGTCCCAGGGTGCTCCCTGCCCCTCCCTGAACTCCCCAGCTCACTGCTGCTGTCTCCAAAAGCACAACCACCAGGCCTTGCAGGCTGCAGCAGAAATCCATCCCAAAAGCCCCATTTACAGAGCCTGGCTTAAACAATGCAGGCTTTGTCCCAAGGCCCTAGACCCGAAGATGGACCCACACCCTCTGGCTTTTGGCTATAGGCATTTGATGACCTGTTGGTGTAGACACCAGCCAGACCCAGCTCAGAGGGCACAGGACTTAGGCTCTTGCTGCCTCCTCATGGGAAAGGCCCTATGGCTCCTGCTACACACCAGCCCCTCCAGTTTTGGATTCCCCAACCTGAAGGACAGCTCATGAAGACTAGGCTGAGAACAAATCGCTGAGATTAAGGCCAGTTTGCCCCTGAAATTAGGACTCCCTTCTGGCAGCATCACCAACTGGGCCCCTCCTTATCACCTCCAGAAGCTGCCATGGCTTCCAAAGGGAGTGAGTGCAGCCCAGAAATCAGATCTGGCCCTACTTGGCCTGGCCCAGTAGGCAAGCTGCTCCCAGGCCCCACTGCAGGGGAGCTCTGGGCCCTGCCCTCTAACCCTTGGAGTGAGGGGATCTTTTGAAAACCACAGGACAGTTATTCAGGAACAGCTTGGGGACAGTGCCCCTACCTGATCACGGCCACTTCCAAACCACTCCATGTCAGGTGCCTGCCTATTCCCCTCCCCACTCCCCAGCATTGCATGTCAGCTGCTCTCCATCATTAATGAGGTCCAGAGACTCAGGCCCCAGGATGGGCTCCTTGACCCACCCAGTACCTCCACCCACCCTCTCCTATGGCTTTGTCTTCTGCTTGGCTACACTCCACTTTTCTCACCTGGGGCCTCGTCACAACTCACTATGGCTCCACAGCTGAAATAATCTATGCTGCTGCCCACTGTATTGCTCCCCCTTCAGAAACCACTGCCTGCTATCCAGCTCCCTCAGGGGCTCCCATCCCAGCCTGCCCCATGGCCCTTTAGTGCTGCTTTTCCTAATGCTTCCACCCTATCCTTCCCAATCAGGGAACCTAATGGAACTCACAGTGATCACAGCTTATTCTTACTAAGGGCTGGTCGGCTGAGTGCCAGGGGATGGTACCACCTCACCTGCTTTATGTATCATTTAACCTTTTTAATAACCTCAAATGACAGATGAGACCAAGTACTCAGTAATTCAGCAATTTGACCCCAGGAAATCCAACCCAGAGCCCTCCCCCAACCACTGCCCTCTCCTAACAGCTGTTTCCTGGTGAATCTGCCACTACTCTAAGCTCACTGAGGGCAGTGACTTCTCCAAAGTGTTAGGCACACAGCGAGGTGCCAATATTTCTAGAATGCAGCACAGCTGTTCTTCAATGTTGTTAAATGTAAGTAGGTCATGTCACTCCTCCACTTAAAACCTCCTGATGGTTCTACATCTCAGAATACAATCTTAAATCTTCAGGACAACAGGCAAGGTCCTACGTGGTCTGCTCTGGTCTCCTCCTCACACTGGCCACACCACCCAAGCACACCAGCATCACCTGGCATTTCCTCAAACACACAAGCACAACATACCTCGGGGAGTCTGCACAAGCTGGTCCTTCTGCCTGGACTACTACTATTCCCCTAAATATCTGTGTTGTCCACTCTTTACTTCCTTCAGAAGCATCTGTTCTAATGTGACTTGAGAAGAGGCCGTTCCTGACCACTCTATCAATAACAGCACCCACTCACTATTCTGTATCCCCTTAACCTGCTTTATTTTTATCACTAGTAATTACCACCTACCATGTATTTTTTTCATTTCCCTTCTTTCCCTACCAGCATTCCAAATGTCAGTTCCAGGAGAACAGGGACCATGTTTGTTCTGTTCACTGCTTTATCTCTAGAGCCTTAGAATTCTGCCTGCCAGAGTAGGAGCTCAAAACTATGTTTTTGTGATGACAGCCTCTGATCCCTGGTCCCTCTCCGATTTGTCCCTCTCCATCAGGCAGGTTCCTCCCATCTCCATCTCCGAAGCTCCCATCATCGCCCTACCCCTCCTCTTGCCAATATCCTGAGTTCCTTTGCCTTTAATCAAACCTGTTGGAAGACGCTCCTGGCTGGATGCATTCCACTGTCAACACTTGCTGTTTGGTGCCTCACTGTAAGAAAGCCCATTACCAAGCACAAATCCTGTCAACTCTGGGTTCTCCACGCCAGCCCGGTTTTCACGTTAAGAAACTCCTCCTTTAGCCCTCTCATGTGGCTAGCTGGCAACAGACCTTACATTCGAAACACACAAACCGACAAACTTGCCCGTCTCCACTCATCTCTGCATCCAGCTGCCTTTCACTAGGGAAAGGGGGGTGCAGGGACGCCTCTTCCCCGCAGCATTCCGAGGTGAGAGACCCCCAGCCCCTCTCACCTACATTATAGCCCTTCCCTCTCCGCAAGCACAAATCTCCATCAGGCTGCGGCCCCTTTCCTCACCTTCACAGCCCACTCCGTTCTAGGAACCCCACTCCGTCTCCACTTTCCGGAAGCCTGCTCGCCCAGACTTCCTTGTAGAGGCATCTAAAGGCTGGGACCCTCCCCAGCTGCAAACGCTCTCCTCGAGGATTCTGCAGCACTCTCCTGGCCCTCCCCTTCCCCACTATCCCGTGGCTGGTTTGCACCGGTCCTCTACACTCGGAAGCCCTTACGACCCTACGACTCGCGGGATGCGCACCGACGGGCTCTCCTGCAGCTGCGTCCACTAGGTTACCCCGGCCCCCGGGACTGTCCTCGGCATGGCTGACTCTCTTCCCAGGCCCAGCACGGAGCGCGGACGCGGCAGGCGAGCGTAAATATGTGCTAAGTGCAAGAGTGCGTCCTGACTGGCAGTGGTGCATTCTTCACCCGGGAGGAGCGCCATTCCCGGCGGCCGGACCGGGAAAACGCTCCGCTTCCGGCACTGCTGTCACTTGGTGCGGGCGCTGGGCCCGACCGTGGCCGCAGAGTGGCCAGGGTCCGGGAGTCCCGCGAGGCCGCCTCTCCCAGGCGGCTCCCACCGGGCAGGGGGCACCGCCCGCCACCCACGCGAAAACACTCCGGCCGGGACCCCGCCGCAGTCGCCAGCCAGCCGGCGACCGGAGGCCCAGGCGCGGGGTTGCGAGCGCCCTGCCAAGGTCACCGGCGCCGCGGCGGCGACTCACCCCGTGCAGGTGGAAGCCCTCGGCGCCGCCCGCGGGCTGCTCAGCGCTGACGCCCAGGCCCATGGCAGCGGCTCCGCTCGGCATCCGGGTCCACTCCCGCTTCGCCTACCCAGGCCGACCCGGCGCCACTAGCACGGACTCGCTCTCTCGGCGCTCGATTCCTGCGCCTTGTGACGTGAAGCGCTTTGTTCCTCCCACTCCAGACACTGACGCTCCTAGCAACCGGCTAGCAGCTCCGTTTCCAAGGACTGTAACGCCTTCAACCGCCCGCCGTGATAGAGTGCCCACGACCCTGCCTCGGGAATCCCGCTCCGCACCGCCCCACCAGACCCGGACTCGGAGCCGCGAGCGGCCCGAGATGAGCAGCAATGACTCCTCCCTTATGGTGCGTGGCCTGGGCGCTGTCCGACCGCTCCCTCGTGACTCCCCGCCTCTGACACAGCGACCTCGTGCCTTGCTACTCTCCTGCCACCCTTCGCCGTCCTCAGTTATATATCAGGCGGTCCTGCCCTTTCTTGCCCCATTCTTCCTGGCAAGCGCATCTTCTCCGGGGCTTCTGCGCTCCCTGAGCCCTAAATTAGCATCCCCGGTTCTTGAGCTACCCCAAACCAGCGCATCTCATCACTATCATTATCCTTTCTTGTCATCATCCCTTCTTCCACCCAGCTCACTCTCGCCTGCGCCTCCCACCCCCGTTGATGGCATCACTATTTAATCTCCTAGCCTTAACTCATACCTCTTCCTTATACTCATCTTCTAATCCTGTCTTCAAGAAATGCCAGCTCCTCAATGTCTCCTGAGTTTTCTTTTTATCTTTTTATCTTCTAGCCCAGAACCAGCACCATCTCTCCCCCTGAGCGCCTGCAACAGCCTCCTTTCCCATCTGGTTTCTCTGCTCTGGCTCTCTTCAGCAGCAGTAGTCCCTGCTGCCACCACAGCACACACTCCCCACACGCAGAAGCAGCCAGAGCCAGAGTGGTTGTTGCAAAAATGTACCTCTGAAAACATCCCTCGCCTTAAAACCATTCTGCTTTCTGTTACCCTTAGGATGGTGTTTGGGCTCTTTCGTATGGCCCACGAGGCTGTTTACAGTCCAACCACATCTGTTCCCAACCTAGCACTCACAAACCTTGGGGGAAGTGAAACTTAACTTTAAAATCTCAGCCCCTTTGTCAAGCTATAGTCCATGGGCTTAAGCTTCCTTAGCTGTGAAAGATACTGAGAGGGCTGTGTACAGGATAGTGGATATGAAGCCCACAATAGCTTGTAACTACAATTGGTATAATTTTTCTTATTATGTGTCCTCATTTTTCCCCCTTATTCCCTTCCTAAGACAAAGCCTGGGTTGTATTCCCCGTCATAGTTGAACCAGAATCTGTTGGTAATCCCCCAAACACCTCCAAACTCTTTCCTGGAGAAACTACATGGAGCTGCTCCCAGGGCTGTTAGAGGACAGGATGAGGCCTGAATGTTTCCTCTTTCTCTTCCCTTTGCAGAACTGAGGAGGAGCAGGGGATAGGGAAGGGAGCAGGTCTCATCCCATCTGGGACAGAACAGAGACAGAGAAGGGACTGGGCTAATGCAGCTATGTCTTCCTTCATACAGGCTGGGATCATTTACTATAGCCAGGAAAAGTACTTCCACCACGTGCAGCAGACTGCAGCTGTGGGCCTGGAAAAATTCAGCAATGACCCTGTGTTGAAGTTCTTTAAAGCTTATGGAGTCCTCAAAGAAGGTAAGGACTTGGCAGTGTTGGTCTTGTGACCCCAGGCACTAGCCCGGCCCTAACACTCTGGCTCCATCTGGATGCCTCCTTGTATCCTAGTTATGGTCCCATAAAAACAGTTTCATACTCAGCGGCTGGATTCCCACGGGAATCCACAGAAGCCTACGTAATCCATATCTAGTTGACTTTTGAGACCTCAGAGCGCTCACTATCCCTGCTCTGCACCTCGGGTTCCCTCTCTGTAAAATGAGTGATTGGAGAGATAGCTGCATGATTCTTGAAGTAATTCCAGGCCTGGAAGCTGAGAACTGGTAATGCAGGCAAAGGAGGAGGAAGAGGTAGGTGTGAGGACAGGTGGGTATGGTACAGGTACAGGGAAAGGAGTGGGGCCCATGCGGGTGCAGATGCGCTGACATTCAGAAGGTGGTCCTGGGCTGAGGACTGGCCGAATGGCCCATGGCCAGTATCTGAGGACATGGAGGGATAAATGTAATCAGTGGCTCTTGAGCACTAGCTGGGAAAGCCCTGCCTGAAGTCCTTCTTCAGAACTGACGCAGCTAATGATTGCAGCCTCACACATATCCCCACAAGTACTCACAGGTACACCTTTCAAGTCCAAGATTTCCAGCCCCCAACAGCCTGGACCATGTTACCAGCAGCTCTTTCCCAGAGCCCCAGTCTTCAGGGAGCTTGGGTCACTGGGGACCTTTCAGACCAGTTAGTCCTCTGACTCTGGGCAAAGGCAGGTAGTGCTGAGCCGTTGGGTCAGCTACAGAGTCTCATGTCCTCTAATCCTGGAGCTTGAGAGTATAACTATGTGGACTGTCTTTGCAGAGCACATCCAGGATGCCATCAGTGACCTGGAAAGCATCAGGCATCACCCAGACGTGTCCCTGTGCTCCACCATGGCCCTCATTTATGCTCACAAAAGATGTGAAATCATTGGTGAGTGCCACCATGCTCAGCCAGGCCTGACCCACCAGGGGAAAGAAAGCCCTGCCCCAGAGATACACAGTCCCTCAAGGGCTGCCAAAGGAGGTGTGTGCCCTGGTGGCTGGGCAGATGCTGTTAACCAGTGAGAAGTGACTGCTGCTCGTCTCCCCTTGGAGGTCTGGGAGAAGACGCCATGCCTGGATCCAACTGAGTGGAAGCAGGCAGAACCCATGACAGTGGGAGGGGTCCATGCTCCAGATCCCAAGAGTTGGGGAAACACCCTTCTTCTTTGCCAAGATCTTGTCAGAAAAACCAGCTAATATATATAATTCTACCCCTAATCTCCACCCCTCTAGAGTCAGGGAGGGGGTCCAAGAGTGACTACAGACTACTATTTCCCCACTCATAATAAGTTGTGGGCCTGAGGCTAAGGATTTTGGTTTGGTCTGCCTGCTCAGCACACTGCTGGGCACAGAAAAGAGAAGATAATCTCAGAGAGCACACCTGAGTCCAGGCCGGGGCAGCCCCTGCGGCATCTCAAGGGCAGGTACTGCTGGTTTCTAGGCCTTGGACTGCACGCGGTGTGCTGCATATGTTGAAGGAGATCCACAGTGTGTGAGAGAGACCCAGAGGTAGTTCTCTGGGCTCTTGGTGGCCCCTGCAGAACTAGGCAGACTTCCGCATCCTAACTCTCCCTCTTCCTTCGCTCTTGGATTTACAGACCGAGAAGCAATTCAGGAGCTTGAGTACAGCCTGAAGGAAATACGCAAGACAGTCAGTGGGACTGCCCTGTACTATGCTGGTGTCTTCCTCTGGCTCATAGGCCACCATGACAAGGCCAAAGAGTACATTGACCGCATGCTGAAGATCTCTAGAGGCTTCAGAGAGGTACTCACCACACCATGGGGACAACAGGCGAAGAAAGCAGCATCCAAACACATAATAGCAGGGTGGCCCTTACTCCCACAAAGGGCCCTGAAACTGGGGGAGAGCCACACCCAGGCACTGATGAAATACTGGGTCTCACAGTTGCCCCAAGTATGTTGTCTCTGGGCTTAGCAGAGGTTACTCATTGGCGTTTGTCCATAGAGTCTGATTTCTAGATAGATTTTCTATGGCTTGCACCATATTCTTAAGAAATTTTTTTTTGAGACCTCACTGCAGCCTCAGCCTCCCAGGCACAAGCAGTCCTCCCACCTCAGCCTCCCAAGTAGCTGGGACCATAAGTGGGTGCCAACACATCCAGCTGGTTTTTACATTTTTTGTAGAGACTGGGTCTTGCCATGTTGCCCAGGCTAGTCCAGACTTACTGGTTCTTTTGAGGACCCAGATGAGCTGGTCACACTGGGCCATTCCCTTCCTATAGTGCTCTGCTGGAACTGAATGGTGGCTCATGCAGTACAGCCCATATACTGTATATCTGCACTAATATGGAATTTGAAGCCTCAGTCTAGACCATGCCTTCTCAGCAGGGCTGATATCAATTTTCAAAGGGTGTAGACATGGTCCCTGGGGGAGAAGATGAAAAAAATCTTATTCTTTATATATAAAATACACACACATATATATAGTACACAATACACAGATATGGTATATCTGAGGCATTAACATTTCTTGCAGGGGAAGGGATTAATTAGGAAACAGTATCTAAAGAGACTCCTTAGGACAGATAATAGAAAAAGAGAAATAGAAATATAACAGAGAAATACTGATCTAGGCCATCATGAGGGGTGCTTTAGGGCAGGGCTCTTCCAAGTCTGCTTCCCAGGCCTGGCCCTCCCCATCTGCCAGGAGAGGCTGGGTGAAGGCTAACATGGAACCAGCGAGGTCCGCGAGCTCAGAATGGCTCCTGCTCACCCACTCAGAGGGCATTCCTGGGCTTCCTATGCAGGGCCAGGCCTTGTGCTGGCCTAAGAAGTGGAGAGATCAAGAGTGGCCCTGAGTAGGACCCCATGTTGGCTACTGACCCCAGTGTAAACAGGCAATGACAGGATAGGTGAGTGTGCCTCAGTAAGGGTTATGGAGAGCTGTAAAGGTACAGGGAAGGAGGTCTCCTAAGCAGGGGCCTCTGAGGCTGAGTTGTACTGAGTGGTAATGGACATCAGGTGCAGGGGTTTGGTTGGGAGTGGGAGGGGTGCTGTCCAGGGCATTTCCAGACAAAGCAACAATGGGAGACCTGGCCGTGAGAAAGAACCGGCTGCCCTGAGATCTGCATGGGGCTGTGCCTGGCGGGGCCTCAGGGTGTTGGGTGGCAAAGGGTGGATCGTGTGCAGGCTGGGTTGAAGCTGTGCGGAACCAAGGACTTCATCTTTCATCTTGTTCTCATCCAGGCCTATGTGCTCAGAGGCTGGGTGGACCTCACCTCAGACAAGCCCCACACTGCGAAGAAAGCCATTGAGTACCTGGAACAAGGAATTCAGGACACCAAAGATGTGCTGGGGCTGATGGGAAAGGTGGGCAGTGGGAAAGGGAGAGGTAGAAGTATTCCTGGCCAGGCCACTGGAACCAGAGACCCACCAGGTACCCCCAGGCCAAAACCTCAGTCTCCAGATGCCTCATCTGGTAGATGAAGAGCAGAGGCCCAGAGAGGTTCAGCAGCCAACCCAGGGTTACACAGCAGTCCAAGGTCCACTCTACTTCTCAAATTCTTCCTGGTTGATCTGAGTTTCTGTCTCATTTGCATGGGGGTCTTCTCAGGGTCACTATCTGAAGATCTGTCCTTCCTTGACCATCTCACGCTTTCTGTCTGCCTCTGTGTTAGTTTCACTCAATGCCTTTCTCCCTTCTTTTATTTTGACCTTCCCATTTCACCTCTTTGTACCTGTTAAATTCATTTAGTGTGCCGTAAGAAAAGGGAGGTATATATTTTATATGTTCTGTATTTTCTGATCTTGTTTCTTTTTTCTCTTGTGAGCCTCATGGAATTAATCTTTGAGAGAAAAAAATGTCCTCATATTTTCTTCTGTTTGTATATTTTTTATTATAAAAGAGTATGTACTTATTTAAGAAAACAGAAGCCTAAAAAAAGTCAACAGATGAATTAAAATGGCAGGCTTAGTCTTACCGCTCCAAGACAAGTGTTAGTATTTTAGGGCAATGTCTTCTAGTCTTCTTTCTATACTTGGGTCCAGGGTGTGTGTTAGGTTGGCTTTCTGGGTGGCAGAAAGCGATGGAGATTATTGTGAGCCAGCTTATCACAGAGCACCCTTGGGGCCAGCATCTGTGGAAAGAGAAGGCTGGCTGTGAACAGTCACAGCAAAGGCCGCAGCCAACTCTGTGAGGAACTCTGGAGCTGGGAAGCCCCTTCAGTGAGCTCCCCGTCAGTGCCCTGACACTGGAGGTGGGCTGCCCCAGGGACAGGTGTGACCTGGGACAAAGCAGCTCCCTTCAACCATGGGTGATCCCTGGAGGGAGGCTCCATTGAGAGCCATCAGTCACCAACTCTCCTGCTCCTGATGGTAGGGGGGTGGGTCACAGTGTTGGTATATAATGTAGTTTTCACCCTAGGGCATATTATCATTTACTTTGTTTTTCTTCATGTAATATTGTCTTTGTGTAATATTCAAAATGTCAGTTTGAACATAGATGTAAAGCCAGTCTTCTATTGTATAGGCATAATGTAATTTACCAACCCGGTCACCTATTGTTTGGATATTGGGATTGTTTCTGGTTATGCACTTAAAGTTTTTCAGTGAACACATTTATACAAAAATCTTCATTATACAGAATAATCCTCTTGTTTTTAATGACAAGTCTCTTAATGGGGGTTACTGTAGGTCTGAGGGAAGCCCTCCTTTCAGAGTCCAATTTCAAGTCTTTTAGAAGCATTGCCCCCTGGCCCTTAGGGCACCTGTGTCGTGACTGTTTGAGGAGAACCTAGTGGCTGGTGTTTGCCTGCAGGGGCCATGACCGCAGCCCAATAGGCCTTGACAGAACAACAACAAAAAAACTCCACAACCTTGCGATAGAAGTAGTTGCCAGAAAACCCTAACTGACTCAGAATTGCTAAACTGGGCCTTGGCAAGCAATTTCAGTGATGCAATACAGAAAAGTGAATGGGAAATGAATGGAAAATTTATGGAAGTGGAAAGTGCCCAGTGACCTCACCTCTCGCCTTCAGGGTAACCTCACATGGGCTTGCCCTATCCCAGGCCTGCTAAGTTTCCCAAGCTTGGGACTTAGCTATGTCCCCAAAGCCCCTGTTCATCCTGTCCAAGAACCCAAGACTGTTGTAAACCTTGATATGTCACTCTTTCTCCCAGGGACTTTGAGGGCCTACTGGCCCAGCTGAGAGGACCCGCAGTGCCCATGTGTCAGGTTCTGTTCCTGTTTTCATGGAGACACTGAGACAACCCCCCTCCAACAAACTCCCTTCATGGGCACTCCCTTCACGGAGGCTCTTCTGTCTGGCTCCCAACAGGCAATGTACTTCATGATGCAGCAGAACTACTCAGAGGCCCTGGAGGTGGTGAACCAGATCACTGTGACTTCAGGGAGCTTCCTGCCAGCCCTCGTCCTGAAGATGCAGCTGTTCTTAGCTCGGCAGGACTGGGAGCAGACAGTAGAAATGGGACATAGGTGAGTTACTGCCCAACCGTGCAGCTTCCTTTCTTTCCAAGACAAGGGTGCTAACACGTATGTTACCATCTTATAAGATGGTGAGGCAGGAAAACAAGGCGGAAAGGTAAATATCGCCCATAGAGGAACTGGGAATTGTGCTATGGCCAAATTGGGATGAGGAGGAGACGGGGGACGGGTGTGCAAGCAAACGAAATACACATCATAACATGAGGCTAGGAGCTGTGGCCTGTGATGGCTAAATCAAGAAATAGAGGGTAAAGGCTTGTTAAACAACAAGAGGCAGGGAAGGACCCATCGAAAGAACTAAAGCAAGAGTTCCAGGGTAGAAAGCAGTGGCTGTGAAAACTGCAGGAGAATAAGACTAGAATATATTTCATTATTAAGTTTTTTTTTAAACTATGAGTATGGTATACCTTAATAAAAACTTTAGGGGAAAAAAGTCACTGGTGACTTTGAGAGAAGTGTTTTAGCAGCAGACTGGGTACATAAACCAGAGAGCAGATTTCAGGAGTTATTGGGCGTGTAGAAACCAGATACCAAGTGTAGAGTGATCTGGAAGCATTGTGAAGAAAAATGAAAACGGCTTTTGGGAGGATATTTGATGCAAGGCTTTTGGCGAGCCAAAAAAAAATGTCTCTTTAAACTCTAATGGGCACAGTGGGCTCATCCCTGTAATCCTAACACTTTGGGAGGCTGTGGCAGAAGGATTGCTTGAGCCCAGAAGTTCAAGACCAGCCTGGGCAACATAGTGAGACCTTGTCTCTACAGAAAATAAAAAAATAAAATCAGCTGGGCATTGTGGTGTGCACCTGAAGTCCCAGCTACTAGGGAGGCTGAGGTGGGAGAATCACTTGAGCCCAGGAAGGTTGAAGCTGCAGTGAGCTGTGATTGTGTCACTGCACTCCAGCCTGGGTGACAGAATAAGACCCTGTCTCAAAAAATAATAATAATAAATAAAAATAAACTCTAACACTTTATTTTTATCACAATCATTCTAAAATGTATCATCTTCATTTTTTTCCCAGTAAGAGTTAATGGCCCATGAGTTATCACTATGACTTGTAACTGAATTATAGGGAAATATATAGCACAGGTCTAAAAAAAAAAGCATATAATCAAACTTCTTCCTTCCCTTGGGAAGAATCCTAATTCCTCAGCTGATGGCTGGAACTTGAATCTTATAGAGAGGTGCTGGTGGCAAATCAAACATGTCTCTATCCTGCCCAGCCCACAGGCGCCACACACAAGCTGCTAATGCCTGTGTGGACCTCAGCTTCCCTTTCTCACAGTGTAGACCTGGCCTTCGTAGGAGCTTGCTTTGGAGGCTAGGTCTCAGGCCAGCAGCTCACCTGGAAGCACCTGGCTAAAGCCATATGTGGGTGTTTGTGGCCTCCCCGGCCCTGGCCCTGCTGTGCCCATGTGAAGGGAGACAGTGTTTGGGGCCAACAGATTGAATCCAGTGCCCCCCAGCGTGTTCCCTCATGGAAGCTTTCCTAGTTAGTGGGATTCATAGAATTCCCTCAGATTTTTTTTTTTTTTTTTTTTTTTGGAGACGAAGTCTCGCTCTGTCGCCCAGGCTGGAGTGCAGTGGTGCGATCTTGGCTCACTGCAAGCTCCGCCTCCGGGTTCACACCATTCTCTTGCCTCAGCCTCCTGAGTAGCTGGGACTACAGGCGCCCGCCACCTCGCCTGGCTAATTTTTTTGTATTTTTTAGTATAGACGGGGTTTCACCATGTTAGCCAGGATGGTCTCAATCTCCTGACCTCGTGATCCGCCCGCCTTGGCCTCCCAAAGTGTTGGGATTACAGGCGTGAGCCACTGCTCCCGGTCCCTCAGATTTTTAAAACTCTGCTCTATAAAGGTGTGTTTCTGTTTTCATCCCTAATATATTTTTTCTTTCTTTTCTTCATTAATATTAAAAGTCTGCCTCTCTTATTAGCCTTTTTAAAGAACTAGCTTTGAGTTTTGTAGCTCCTTTCTATTATATTCTAATAAAATAGAAATTTTGTATTATAAGTTCTATATTATATTCTTTGTGTATTCTAATTTATTAATTTCTGCCCCCCCCCTTTTTTGCGGGGGGGGAATGTCTTGCTCTGTTGCCTAGGCTGGAGTGCAGTGGCATAATCATAGTTCACTTCTGCCTTGAACCTCTGGGCTCAAGTGATCCTCCCATCTCAGCCTCTCAAGAAGCTAGGACTACAGGCAAGCACCACAATACCCAGCTATTTCTTTTTATAAGTTTTTTTTTTTTTTTTTTTTTAATGTTGCCCAAGCAGCTGTCAAACTCCTGGGCTCAAACAATCTTCTTGCCTCTGCTTCCAAAAGTCCTGGGGTTATGGGTGTGAGTCACCACACCCAGCCTAATTTCTGTTCTTAACTTTATTATTTCCTACCAACTACTTTTTTCCAAGGTATTCTGCTATTGTATTCTCTTTTTTTTTTTTAATTTTAGTTTTCGGTTTTATTTTTTAATTTGTAGAGATAGGATCTCACTGTGTTGCCAGGCTGGTCTTGAACACCTGGCCTTAAGCAATCCTCCCACCCCAGAATCCCAAAATGCTAGGATTACAGGTATAAGCTACCATGCCTGGCCTGTTTTCTGACTCTTAATTTGGATGCCTGTCTCAACCATTCTACCAATTTTACTTTAGAATATAAGCATTGAAGTCTGTGGGTGTCCCTCAAGATACCATTTTTGCAGAGTCTACCCATTTGGATATGTAATATTTTTCTATATCATTTGGCTCCAAGAATTTTCTAATATCTATTCAGATTCTTCTTTGGTCTATAAGTTTTTCAAAGTATGTTGCAGTTTTTGTTAATTCTCAAATGTATGAGGTTTACAGTGCTCTCAGAAGCATCAGAAATGGTTAGAACTTTTTCAGTGCTGATTGTGCCTAATCATGTTGGAATTTAGTGTGTGAATTAGACGAACCTACTATTAAGCAGAAAGTCATTCCCTGACAGGCTGAAAAATGGGAAAGAATCTTTCTATAAAGAAATAGAATATCGAAAACCTCATAGTATGGTCAGAAGCTATAGCTTCACAATGGGACAGAATTGAAACCCAGGTTCCTTTTCCATCTTAAAGTGACTGCCCCCCAAGTACCTTTCTGGCCACCTCCAGACTCTGGCACCGTGGTCATGTCTGGCTAGTTGGGTTATGAATACGTTTCTGTGGCAAAGACCCTCAGATACACAACTTAAATAACATAAAAGGTTATTCTTCCTCCAGGTAAAGTTGTTGGTGGCTCAGGGCTGGGATAACAGCTTAACTCTGGGGAGTCCCAAGCCCCTCTGTCTTGTTGCTCTGCTATTCCTAGGATAATGCTCACATGGTCTACATTCCAGACAGTAGGCAGGAGGGAAGGCATGCTGGTGGGGCACAACTGGACAGCACACCCCTCACTTGCACTTCTATCCTGTAGGTCAGACCTTTGTCACATGGCCAAATGTAAGCTGCAAAGAGAGGCTGGGAAATGTCATCTTTATTCTGAGCAGCTTATGTCTGGCTAATTTGGGAGTTCTATTATTAAAAGAAGAGGGGAGAATGGATATTCAAAGACAATCAGAAGTTGCCAACTCACCATCCCAGCCTTGCCTATCAATACCCTCAATTCATGTGCCTCCTCTTCTTCCTTCAGAATCCTAGAAAAAGATGAAAGCAATATTGATGCCTGCCAAATTCTAGCTGTGCATGAGCTTGCAAGAGAAGGAAACATGACCACAGTAAGTTCTTTGAAGACTCAGAAGGTGAGCCTTGAAACAGAGTCAGGGAGGAACCCTTCATAACCTGTGCACCTGACCCAAAGCCTTTGTACAGAGCCCCTGGATCTCAGCTTCCTCTTTCCTACCCACCCCTATACTCGCTGCCAAGGAGGCCTGCTCTGGTTTGACTCTTTGCGTTATGTAGCTTGGGAGTCAGGCAGCATCAGGCAGTGAGGTTGATGCTAGGCTCTGCCCTGTGCTATCTGTGGAAGCCTTGGCAGGTGTCCCCACCTGGATAAGCCTCAGGCTTCCTGTTTGTAAAATTGACAGAATTCCACACGGGACTAAATGTGATAAGAAGTGGGAGAGTTTGGAACAGTCCCTTTCACACTACAGTAATTTCATCAATGTTAACTGATAGTAGAAGTCGTGGTAGTATTTCTGAATTCAGGAAATGCCATTTTTTTAGGGGATAGTTGGAACTGCTCAGGCATTGGCCAGGTAATTCTGGGCCCCAGACATGTTCGTAAGTCTTGTAGTTTTCCAGAGAAACCAAAAATAGCCCTCAAATGCAGTCAGAAACACCTAGAATTCTTAGTGAAACTCCAATACCCAGACAAGTTCTCATTTTCAAAAAGAGGTTGTGTTTTTAGCCAAAGCATTGCCTTTTAGATCAGTGAAATATATTGCCTCTGTGGAGAGCATGGCAAACCAAGAGTCTCTAAGGGGTCATGGTGAGAAGGGGAAGCTTCTGGTTCCTTCTGCACAGCTCTGAGATTGTGGGTTTTGTGGGATGGGATGAGGTAGAGGGGAAAGTCCGTATTTGGGAGGAACCCACAAAAAGGGCCCCAGCCCTTTTCGTCTCTGGGTAGGAATAAGAGAATAGGACTAACCTCAGCTCCCTGTGACCCAAGATCCCTAAGCATGCCTTCCTGGGGCCAGGTCTGAAAGTTAATCCCAAGGGCAGACTTAGCATTTAGCTAACTGGGATTTAGCATTAGCCCCTCTTTTACTCCTGCTTCAAACCTCGGGGCCTACCTCCGACCCCGAGCTGGCTACCCAGTTCTAATTTTGTTCATGCTTACTGAACAGAGTGGACCCATACCATCCTGGGTTTCGCTTTTGGCACTTCTCTGCAGCTGGGAACTAAGAATTCCTTACTCCTGGGTGGGGAGTGGGAAAGAACCTAAGCTTTGGAATCTGTCAGTGACCTAGGTGACTGGGTGACCTCAGACCAATTGCCTAACCTTTCTGACCTTTCATGTGTTGGACAGGAAAGTTTGGAAAGTTCGGATCGTTATACTGACTTACATTTGCCTCATGTCAAAATGGAGCAGAGGCTTCTGGGCCAGCACAGTTAGTTTGCTGCTGGCCTGGCAGGCTGCACTATGGACACAGTGAGGGCTAGCTACTGGCTCTGCCTGGGTGGGTCTGAAAAGGCAGCTTCTCTTCACAAACTCGGGAACAGGGCTACTCTATGGGTTAGCCCTGCTCCATAAGGAGCAGTCAAAAGAGAAAAAAAGAAAAAAAAAAAAAAAAATTCAGGAACAGAGGGGCAGTGCCAGCTCTGGGTGAATAATGTCCCCAGGAGCTCCACCTATGGGCTTTTGAAGTAATGCTAATGCGTGGGCCACTCCAATTCACTTAAATCTGAATTTCTGGGGGGTTGTGCCTGGGCATGGGCATTTTTTAAATCTCCCAGCTGATGCTACTATGCAGCCAGGGTTGAGAACCACGGCCCAACTCTGACCTTGCACCTTGCATGTTGACATTCTGTTTTGTCCCTGCAGGCTACCAATCATGTTAGAAATCTGATTAAGGCACTAGAGACAAGGGAGCCCGAAAATCCAAGCCTCCATCTTAAAAAAATTCTTGTGGTTAGCCGACTGGTAAGAAGGTTCTTTCATGGTTCTGAAATGGTGCTTCTCCCTGCTTTCCTTAGAGGAGACCTGTGCTCCCCCAGGAAACTCCTTGAGTGCCTTGCCCCTCCCTTCTGGCTCAAACTTGTCCTTTTGGGGTAGTGGCTCATAGCCTCTTGCACCTACTTGCCTCTGGCTGATAACTGTGACATGTGGGTTCTACGTCCTTAGCCTAGGTGCCCCCTCAGAGATGCCATGAAGATCAGGGAGACAGGGTCTGAAAGTACTTTCGGAGTAGGCTGTGCCTTATTTGGGGAAAGTGGGTGGTATCGCCGCTGTTATGCAGCAGAGCCACACCCAGCTCTGGCCTCCAGTGCCTGGGTGCCTGGCTCCCATATTCTTTTGTGTGGAAGTGGCCTGAGAAGGCTGGCCTGCCTAGGCCTCTCAAGCATCAGGGAAGGTCCAACTAGACCAGGTTGCCAACAAATCTGTGTCTCTTTTAGACTCTTCAGCCCCAAAGCAAGATTTACTAGAAGTAGTTGCTATAAGAATGAAGGCAACTCTGGGACCTCAGGAACCAGAACTGTGGAGTTGCATAGACACCATCTCTCCCTCTGTGTGTGTGATTCTCTCTGCCTTGTTCTCCACATATGGCAGGGAACATGGCTGATGGCAGCCTTTGGGGCCCCTTCTTATTACTGGACACAAAGAAGTTATTTCATTCAGCTTCAATTTTTGAAAAACTTCTTGGTGACTCCTTAGACCAATTACTGTGGTCAGACAGGGGATAGGTCCCTCAGAGGACCCTGTGGCTAGAGGCAGGTTCCACAGATGTGGCCAGTGAGAGGTTCCTTGGGAGCCAGACAGCAACACAGACCCAGCTGCCTAGACACAGGGTACCTCTTGGGCTCTCCTGGGCCTACCCAGCCCTGCCTACCAAAGTGTCCCCCATTTCTGACATGACCTTGCTGATACAGGCTGGACTGACTGGTCTCCCAATTCCCACCTTCCTGTTTCTTGTAGTGTGGGAGTCACCAGGTGATTCTAGGACTAGTGTGTAGTTTCATCGAGCGCACCTTCATGGCCACCCCCTCCTACATCCATGTGGCCACAGAACTGGGCTATTTCTTCATCCTGAAGAACCAAGTGAAAGAGGCCTTGCTGTGGTACACAGAAGCCATGAAACTGGACAAGGACGGCATGGCTGGTTTGACAGGTATATGCAGGCAGGGCAGGGTTCGGGGCTGGGTGTCGGGAGCCAAACCGGGCAGCTTCCACGGGTCCAGAAGAGAGGTGCTGGAAAGCATTCTCCTTGGGGGGTATGTGAATTTTGGGGTACGATGTATGATAGGGTATCTTTCTGGGAATCCACAAGTATGGATGTAGGAGGCACAGGAATGCTCGGAGGTATGATCAGAGTCACTCTGATCTCCACCAGACCTCCACCGTCTGTCTACACTGATTGCCCCAGAAGACTGACAGGCTGAACCTTACACTCAGTGGGCCCTGCCTCTTCTCAGGCTGCCCAGGCCGGGGTTGGAGGCAGTTCTACTCACCACCAATCCACACATGCAGAGCCTCTAGATTCACCTCTGCAGACCCTCCTCCAGGGCTGTGAGCTGAAAAACCACCAAAAAGAGTAGCTCTGAGACTTATATATTTCCCTGTCTGTCCAGGTGACTTTAAAAATCCTTTCTGTAAATGTCAAATGAACTTTCTACAACGCCATTTCCATTTTACACATTTTTTAAAGCCCCCTACTCTATGGTCTGTGGTGAATTCTGAAACGGCAGTGTTTGCTTTGGGTTGAGGAAGTTGTGTGATCCAGTGCTCAAGGCAGGCTGGCTCTTGCCCTGGCCCTGAGGGGCTGTGTGTTTGGGGCCAAGTCACTTCTCCTTTCTAAACTCTAGGCTCCTCATCTGCATAGCACAGTTATCAGAGTAGTTTATCTTGACTTCTGGTTCAACATGTCAGGCTGACCCCCTCAAATCCATGCTTGCCCTCTGTCCCCAAATCCCATGAAAATAATGAAAGATATCTTTAAAAGGCAATTAGCCGGGCGTGGTGGCTCATGCCTGTAATCCCAACACTTTGGGAGGCTGAGGTGGGCAGATCATTTGAGGTCAGGAATTCGAGACCAGCTCGGCCAACATGGTGAAACCCCATCTCTACTAAAAACACAAAAGTAGCCAGGCGTGGTGGAGGACACCTGTAATCCCAGCTATTCGGGATGCTGAGGCCAGAGAATCACTTGAACCCGGGAGGCAGATGTTGATATGAGCCGAGATGGTGCCACTGCACTTCAGCCTGGGCCACAGAGTGAGACTCCACCTCAAAAAAAAAAAAAGGAATACATTGCAGCCTTAGAAACAGAAAAATACCTTCCATGGACCAGAAACTTTGAAGAATTTCACATTTCTAGAAGATGGAAGGCAAATGGTATCAAATACATGGGAATTCCAAGCAGATCTAGAAACCCATAAACCAACATAGGCAGAGATGGGTTAGCTAAAGAATTTAGTAGACCAGCTTTCCCCAAAGAGTTCCAGGAAAAACAAAAACTAAAAAACACGAGCTCAGGGTCACCAGAGGCTGAGTGTGAAAGCATGCCACAGGGCAGTGAAAGCGATTATAGGAGGATTATTGGAACCGTGCCCCGGCCAGAGACTAGAATCCAGGAGGTGTGTATTGGGTGTTGGGGCAGGAGGGAGAGGAGCAGTGCTCTGGATGATTTCCCACCATAACCAGGGATATGAAGGACAAAAGGACTTGGCTGCTCAGCACAAAAGCAAAATTCCCTAGAATGTTCCTCCACCAGGCTGAGTCCTTCCCTACTTCCTCCTTCAAGGGAGAGAGCCCCAGTGGTTAGCCAGAGGAAAGTCCACTGGTCAGGATGTCTGTCCTCTCTCCCAGTCCAAGCAAGCCCACTCGTATGTCCTGGAGTCACCATATTTTCTGTCCAGTCTGGCAGAATCAGTGACGTTAACAGTGTGTGAAATGTGCCTACTTGCTGTCCTTCCTTTATAAATCTGCTAGCAGTCTGAAAGATCGGCCGAGTGGAACATATAAAGCAGTAGCCCTCTGAGGAGCAGAGTTAAGGCTAGTACAGAAAAGACTTTTCCTCCCAAAACCTCTTCAATGTTTGGAGAGGCTATTATGGCAATAAGTAAAGAACATGCTACTATGAAAAAGGTACAGGAACAAAAAAGAGTTGCCAAAAATCAAAAATATTGTTGTAAGGTAAAAAATTGCATAGATGGGTCAAATAGTGGGATGGATATAACTGAAAACTAAGATGGTGATTAGGAAGATAGTCAAGAATAAATATGCCAAAGTAGCAAAGAAATATCTGTACAAGTAGAATAGCTTGCTTCAAACATGTGAGATTTGTCCTCCCAACATCAAAACATATCACAAAACCACAGTAATTAAGTCCCTTTGAGGCCAGCACTGAGTGGGATAAGCAAATAGATAAATGGGATGTAACAGGCCTTATTTCAAGCTGATAGGTTGTTCAGTAACTCCTAGTTGGATACCCTGCTATCCATTATGAAAAAGAAATAAAGGTAAGTTCTCATCTTACACCATACTTAAATTTCAGTTGAATTAAGTATTAAACATAAAAATTAAATGAAACATGGGTTTCCCTGAGGATTCTAAGCCTAACTCCAAACTTGGAAGCTGCAAAGTTTGGCTTTGTGGCTCTACATGAAAAAAAAAAAAAAATAGAAGCCGCAAAGGAAAACATTTTACCTATTTGACTACATAAAAGCTTAAAATTACTACCTGACAAGATACTGTAAAAATAGTTAAAGGATAAATGGCAAACTAATAGAAAGCACTTGCAACAAAGGTTAAGAAAACATAAAGAGGAAAAAAAAAATCACCCCCTCCAAAAAAACCAGGCAGGCTGTGAACAGAAAATTCACAGTAGAAAGGAAAAGGCTATATTGGAAATATGAACAGATGTTCATTCTCCCTAATAGTTAAAAAAAGGTGGTGAATGAAAACTAGTTACTTTCCATGTTTCAGACTGGCAAAAATTACAGCATGTTTGAGATTATGAAGAAAGGATATTTTAAATTCTTGATAGTAATATAAGTTCAGGTATCTTTGAGGGCAGGTTGGCCTTATCTGTCAGCATTTTAAATATATGTGCTCTGTGACTCATCAGCTCTCCCTCAGGAATTTGAACATATGTAAATGTTCATCATAGCATTGTAGTATTTAAATACTGAAAACAAAGTAAATGTGAAATTAGATGTCCTTCAGTAGGGCAATAGTTAAATAAATTGTTACATCCACAGTAAAATATTATGTTGTCATCAAAGAGAATGGGGTAGATTTGTATGAAGAGATGGAAAAATATGACTATCATATACAAAGTTAAAAAAACAGATTGTGGCCGGGCATGGTGGCTCATGCCTGTAATCCTAGCACTTTGGGAGGCTGAGGCAATTGGATCACCTGAGGTCAGGAGTTCAAGAACAGCCTGGCCAACATGGTGAAACCCCATTTCTACTAAAAATACAAAAATTAGGCAGGCATGGTGGCCATGCCTGTAATCCTAGCTACTCAGGAGGCTGAAGCAGGAGAATTGCTTGAACCTGAGGGGCGGAGGTTGCAGTGAGCCAAGATCGTGCCACTTCACTCCAGCCTGGGAAAAAGAGCAAAACTCCATCTCAAAAAAAAAAAAAAGCAGATTGTAGAATGGTGTATGTGAAATTTGATTCCCTTTGTGGATGTGTGTGTTTTTAAACCCATTGGTATGCTTGTGTGTACATATAAATATATATGTCTGAGGTGTCTATATAGTAGTAACATATTATACCTCAAATGTTTCCTAGTGGTTATTTCTAGAGAGAGACATTGTTAAAGCCAGAACATGAGCTAGGGATGTTTTTCTGTCTGTATTGCCTTAGGGTTTGAATTCTTGAGCATGAGCATGTATTTCTCTTTAAGTTTGTAGAAATGTTGGAAAAGATTCCCTATGCTGAGACACCTTCCTTCCACTGTCTTACTCGTGCTCCTTGACCTGATGGGCTGCTGGCTGTGCTTCAGGGCTAGCTACTCATCATTGTTTTGTCCCATTTACAGGGATCATCTTGTGTCATATCTTAGAAGGCCACCTGGAGGAAGCTGAGCACCAGCTGGAATTCCTGAAGGAGGTGCAGAAGTCCCTTGGGAAGTCTGAGGTCAGAGCTCCCTGGGGCCATGGGTTGCTCCAGGACGATGTCCTTTGCTGTCCTCCCACCCCTGATTTCCAATAGAAAGCAGCCAAGGTTACCTGGACCTTCACTTTGCCCTTGCCTACCAACTCTGCCCAGGCTGGCATTGGCACTGAGACTCGGTCCTGTCTTCCACAGGTGCTAATTTTCCTCCAAGCCCTCTTGACGTCTAAGAAGCACAAGGGGGAGCAAGAGACCACAGCGCTCCTGAAGGAGGCAGTGGAGCTTCACTTCTCCAGCATGCAAGGCCTTCCTCTTGGCTCTGAGTACTTTGAAAAGCTGGACCCCTACTTCCTGGTCTGCATTGCTAAGGAGTACTTGCTCTTCTGCCCCAAACAGGTTAGGGGAAGGCCTATCTTCATGGTGGGGGTCTGGAGTACAGGTTTGGATGGTGCCCACCTGAAGGACAGAGGCATCCTTACTTGTGACCTTACTTGGCCCAGTTGGGGAGCCCAGTGCTCTTCAAACTTGAACATGAAGCACACAGGTCACCTGGGAGGTTGTTCCAGTACAGATTCTGACTCTATAGGGGGGTCTAAAATCCTGCATCTCTAACAAGTTCCCAAGTGATATGGATGCTGCTTGTCTAGGGACCACATTTGGAAGAACAGGGCACCAGCCCATGGACCTGCTTTTATCCGAGACAAGAGCTTGGCTTCCTTTTCCGCAGAAGCCCCCTAAGAAGTATGTTAGTCTTTACTTGTTTGTCCTGCTCTTCCAGCCAGTCAGGATTCTTTGTGACCAAGGATCATATTTTTATATACCTTAATATCCTCCCAGTGCCTTGTAATGAGTCACTCAGCAAATATTTATTGAGTGCCAGATACCATTCTCTGTACTGGGGACACCACAGTGAACAAAACCAAGCACTAGATGATACAGAGGATAATAAATAAATGTGGAATGAAGCAAAATTCCTTCACTGAGAGCGTTTTCTGAGAGCTCCAGGAGTCTCTCTTAGAATAGGGCAAACCTACTCCCACCTCCACCACCGTGTTCCCACAGCCCAGGTTACCAGGCCAGATCGTGTCTCCACTTCTTAAACAAGTCGCCGTGATCTTGAATCCTGTAGTCAAAGCAGCACCAGCTCTGATCGACCCCCTGTATTTGATGGCTCAGGTCAGGTATTACTCAGGTGAGCGGGGGTGGGGTCCTGACAGCCAGGTGGGGCCTTGCAAACACCTGATGGAGCTTTGTGTCCACAGGCTCCTTGCCTGTGATACTGCAAACACACACACACACACACACACACACACTCCTTGCTTGGGGTACTACACACACACACACACATGCACATGCACACACGTACATTTGTGCACACACAGGCACATGCCCCTACAGGCCTGCCCACTCCCAGCCTCTATCCCCTGGTAACCCTAGTAAGCTCCCTGACCTCTCACCAGCAGGGGTCTCTCCCACCTAGGCCTTTGTGGATTTACTCACTTGATCTGTGCTGGTAATAGTCATTGAACTTCATCTGAGATACAGTAGTACCAAAAATAGGCAAAAATTCCCTCATGGAGTTTGCATCTAGTAAGGGGAAATTGACAATTCAATGCAAGCTCCACGAGGGAGCACATCGTATTTTTTTGTTAGAACATGGCAATGCTATAGAAGAAGCTGAAGCAGGGAAGTGATGCAGGGGTGGCAGGGTTGCGGTTTCGAAAAGCTATCCAAAAAAGCCTCATGGAGAAGTGAGAACCCTGTACCATGAAGTCTTCAGAGCCTCCAGGAGCCCTTTCACCTTCTCCCTTCTCAGGCCCAGACCCTGGAGAGAAAGGGAAGGAGAGGGAAAACCTTCCATAGGTGCTCTATTGTCCTCTGTGATGCAGAGCCCTCCCCTGAAGTACTATCTCCCTGTGGCCTCTTACCCCATCCTGCCTGCCTGGAAACCAGGCTTATCTCTGGTGGTCTGGGGGTGTCCAAAGGGATCAGAATACTGTGGCCATTTGTCTGTCTTCTGGCATTGCATCGTGTGGGTTGTACTCCTGCTGAGAGCTTTCCTGTCTTCATCCTTGGTCCTCCCTATGTTCATTTGAATGCCAGGTTTCCCCACAGCTTCAAAGTATCCTGGATACAAGGCCAGGGTGAGAGAACTTACCCTGAGTGCTGGCATCTGCCAGCAGATTTGGGCCCAAAGCAAGGTCTCCAGCTGCGTAGGTTGCCATGGTGACCTCTTCACATTTCCACAGCACGTAAGAAGGAGCAGGGAGCTTGGGACCCAGAAGCAGGGGCTCCCTACCCACCAGGTTATGGATCCCAAATAGGAGTTGTTGAGAGACCTGACTGCAAGGGAAGAGAGTGCCCCTACCAACTCATTACACCCAACCCCTAGGCTGCTGCTACCACCCTGTAAGTGCCAGCCTGTCTGCAGGGAGGCCCCTCAGCCCTCAAGTGCCAGGGGGTTCAGAGCTGAAGCTCAGGAACCCAATAGGTCTGGACATAAATGCCAACTTTGCCCCTTCCAAGTTGAGTGGCTTACATCACTGGAGCCCCAGGTTCCACATCTGAAAAAACAAGAACAATAGCACCAACCTTGCAGGGCTGGGCAAGTAATAAATCAGACTTTCTAAAATGCTTTGCAAGTGTTGAAACAGAGCAGGAGCTTCATAAATTGTAACTATTACAGTTGCTGTTTCTACTAGGTTTTGTTTGCTCTTAGGTGTGGGAATTGAGACTTAATATGTTCCCCTGAGCTTCTGGATGGAGCAGTGAAGTAACTTAGCTATCTCCCTGAGGGTTACAAAGACAAGAAGGGTGTTACACTGAGGTTTGAGTTTCCTGGCTTTTGTCGGAGTCAAGGAAACAACTGTGTAGTCTTAATTTTAGAAATGGACCCCTGAGTGAAGCAGAACAAAACTGGCTAAAATACTCAACTTTGTATATTTCTGGAGAACAGGACATGTAAAATTCATTCTGCCCTTGCATATCAGGTCTTAGGAGCCCCTTGGGAACCCTGCATGTAGAGGTTTGTGTATTATTTCTAGGAGAGCTAGAGAACGCCCAGAGCATCTTGCAGCGTTGCCTGGAGCTGGACCCCGCCTCCGTGGACGCCCATCTCCTCATGTGTCAGATCTACTTGGCTCAGGGCAACTTTGGCATGTGCTTCCACTGCTTAGAGCTGGGTGTCAGCCACAACTTCCAGGTGGGTGCCCTGTCATCCTCTCAGCATCCCAACACCCAGCTAGCTGCAGCCCCTGTTTGCCTTCTGAGAGTAGCCCCAGGGGCTAGCTGTGTCCCACAGATCTTTCTGCTGGTCCAAAGGCAGGGGTAGGCTCAGTGGGCTCCTGAGGCCTTCTCTGACTTGGCTGCTGTGAGCAGCAGCAGTAGCAGCAGTGAACTGGAGCCCCATACTCTGCTGTGCTCCTCCTAGGTCCGAGATCACCCCCTCTACCACCTCATCAAGGCCAGGGCTCTCAACAAGGCTGGAGACTATCCAGAAGCCATAAAGACACTGAAAATGGTCATCAAATTGCCAGCTCTGAAGAAGGAAGAAGGCAGGAAGTTCCTCGGGCCCTCTCTGCAGACCAGCCAGCGGGCATCCATCTTATTGGAACTGGTGGAGGCCCTCCGGCTGAATGGGGAGCTAGTAAGAAATGCCATGCTCTCCTCCCTGGGGACTGGGGCACACTGCAGGCTCAGGGTAGGCCCAGGAACCAGGTTCTTTGGTTCCACCCACTGTTTCCTTGTGCACCAAGTGGAGGGTCTGTTTGATTCCCATGTTTTAGCATGAGGCCACCAAGGTCATGCAGGACACCATCAATGAGTTTGGCGGCACACCAGAAGAGAACCGCATCACCATTGCCAACGTGGACTTGGTCCTGAGCAAGGGTAATGTGGACGTGGCACTGAACATGCTAAGGAACATCTCACCCAAGCAGTCCTGCTACATGGAAGCCAGAGAGAAGATGGCCAACGTCTACCTGCAGACCCTCAGAGACAGGCGCCTCTACATCAGATGTTACCGGTAAGCCCCACAGGTAGCACAATGACAGCTTCTTCTCTGATGGTATCTTAGAGAATGTTTCCTTCAGATGTTATTTCTTCAACCTGGGTCTCCAGAATGTGTCCTTGGAGTGTAGTTGATGAATGTATGGAATTGTCCATGGGTTACAGTTTGAGCATGAAAGGTCAGTAAGCCCTGTTCATGGATGAGTTCTGAGGATACAGAGTTGAATTGGCCCTGAGCCCTGCTTGCACCCCCCCTTCGCTTACCTGCTTGCACATACTGGTAGGAGACTGTAGGCCTGGTTCTCAGAGCAGACACACTGAAGCTCCAAGCTGCTGTCTCTGTATGATTTGGCATTGGGACCTCCAAGGCGCCTTCCTCATCCCTTTCTTCTGGCAGAGCTTCATCTAAGCAATTTAAAGTGGGAGGTGCGGTTGCTGAGGGAGTAGGGAAGGCTATCCAGCAGTGGGAAACCAGTGAACAGTATGGAGGCATGGCCAGATTGGAGTTTTAGAAAGAGTGACGTGGCTGCCTCATGGAGAGGGATCTGAAGGGATGGCGGGTAGAGTGAGAGGAACAGGTAGAGGGCCTGGCCATGGCCTAACTACAGAGATGGATGTGGAGAGCCTGACTCAGGTAGCTAGCACAGTGCCTCATGCACAGTGGACTTTCTGTAAGTATTGATTGCTGAATGAATGAATGTCAGCCAGAATCAGTGGGAAGGAAGTGAAGGAGATGATTTCAGGAACATGAGGTGTGTGCGAGCCTGAGATAAGCTTTTGGTTACTCTTGCTTGCAGTGAGCTCTGTGAACATCTGCCTGGCCCCCACACCAGCCTGCTACTGGGTGATGCTTTAATGAGCATTCTGGAGGTAAGTGAGAGGCCTCACAGCCTTGCCAAGTGGCCCCCCAGTCTCCCTTCTCCAGTGGCAGAGAAGAGGAAGACCCAAAGACACTTTCCCCACCAGCCCGAGAAGGCCCTGGAGGTCTATGATGAGGCCTATAGACAGAACCCACACGATGCCTCCCTGGCCAGCAGAATTGGGCAAGCTTATGTGAAGGCCCACCAGTATACTGAGGTCAGGCTGGGCTGGGGTGTGAAGGGGCAGGGAGGGCCAGCCTAGCAGGGAAGGTGGAGGACGGTACATGACTGGGGAGCTCTGGATGGGAGGAGAGTGGCTGAGTTTTCACTCAGCTCCTTGCTGAATGGGGTGCCAAGGGGAGAACTCAGCAACTCTCTGCCGCTGACCACACCTGCTCAAGCTGAGGCTTACACCCTGTGCCAGGTAGGAGGAGTGCTTTTTCACCTTAGGCTTCTATGTTCTGGAGGGGCACACTGGTGTGATGGCTGCTGAGGGGAACACGGTGTCTGGCACTGAAGTGCAGAACTAGGCCAGAGGCTAATATTTATTGTTTGCACTAAGGCAATTGAGTATTATGAGGCTGCCCAGAAGATTAATGGACAGGACTTTCTGTGCTGCGATCTGGCCGAACTGCTCCTAAAGTTAAAGAAGATCAATAAAGCAGAAAAAGTTTTGAAGCAGGCACTGGAACATGACATTGGTGAGGCAGCATTCTAACCTATTTCTAGCATTTGGAGCAGACATACTCCTCCCCCATTCCCCATTAGCTGAAGTCCTGAACCCAGCCCTCCCCACCAACCCAGCTTCCCAGGAACCAGCAAACTAACACTAATTTGAGTTTCCGTTTAACAGTCCAAGACATCCCATCCATGATGAATGATGTTAAGTGCTTGCTTTTGCTGGCAAAGGTTTACGAGAGCCATAAAAAAGAAGCTGTGATAGAAACTTTGAACAAGGTAATTGACAAGTGGACTCAAGCTCTTTATCTGCCATCTGCTGGTGGGGCCTGAAGAAGGAGAAAGGAAAGAGCTCCAGGTCTGTAAAGCCCCAGACCTCTTCCTCAAAAAAGGACCTAGGTTACACCTCTGACATCCACCTTCACTTATTTTCCCGTTCTGGTTCATTCAGTGACGGTACACTAATGTGCTCTGAGCTAGGGTGGCTGGGGAAGGCAGGAAGTAAGAGAGTGCCTTTGTCCTCAAGGGTGATGGTAGAGATAATAATGAGGCAATGACAATAGCTCCCATGCATTAAAAGCTCTGTGCTAGGTTCTGTAGGGTTTTTGCTTTCTTATTGAATGATCACAGTAGCCCTTTGTAATAAGCATTGTGACATTCCCATGTAACAGATAAGTCTCTAGGAGGTTGAGCAATGTGCCCAAAGTTGGGTTCAGTTGTGTTAGTCTGTATTCTGTTGGTATATACCAGAATACTTGAAACTGGGTAATTCATACATTTCCTACAGTTCTAGAGGCTGAGAAGTTCAAGGTGGAGGAGATCTGGTGAGATCTCATCTGGTGAGATCCTTTCTGCTCAGGAGAAGGGGAACTCTCTAAAGAGTGCAGTACAGGGTATCACATGGGGGGCGGGGGCACCGACTGTGCTAACATGCTTGCTCGGGTCTCTCATCCTCTTCTTAGAAAGCCACCAGTTCCACTCCCATGATAACCCATTAATCCATTCATCCACGAGTGGTTTAATCCATTTATGAGGGCAGATCCCTCATGATCCAATCACCTCTCAAAAGCCCTAACTTTCAATACTGCCACATTGGGGATTAAGTTCCCAGGAAAGCACATGACGTTTGGGGGGCACATTCAAACCACAGCAACGTCATATGTTGCTTATCAGCAGGGATATGATTTTGTTGTGTGAATATCATAGAATATACTTCTACAGACTCAGATGGTATAGCTGACTTCACACCTAGCCTATCTGGTATAGCCTATTGCTCTGAGTCTATAAACCTGCACAGCATGTTACTCTACTGAATTCTCTAGGCAATTGTAGCATCATGGTAAGTATTCGTGTATTTAAACATAGCTAAACATAGAAAATGTACAGTAAAAATACAGTGTTATAATCTTCAGGGACCAGCATCATATATGTGGTCTGTCATTGACTGAAATGTTATGCAGCACGTGACTGTACCAGCAAGTGGTGGAGCTGAGATCTGAGCCAGGTCTGGCCTGTCCCAACCTATGTTCTTTGCACACTGGGCTGCCCCTGATCTGAGAGCCCCCAGCCATTCCTGTCACATCTTCCTCACTTTTTTCCCCCAGGGGCGTGGCCTCAAACTTGTTTCTGGAGTATGCTCTGTGGTTCTAGAGGGAGAGCCCATACTCTTGACTGTTTGAGATGATTTATCCCCTTGCTTACTGCTGGATTCCCATTCCTCTTTTTGGCCCTCGGGGAGCCAAATGCTGATTCCTACCCATATCCTACAGCTTAACCCTGGCATCATCATTTCCTCTTGCACTGATGTTCTCTGCTTACTCACCTGATCATTTGTGTGGTGAATATTTGTGGCTGCGTCCTCAAATTCCCAGTAGGGCGGCATACAGAACAGAACAGTCTACTGTGTGCCTTGGGCACCTACTGTGTGCTAGTTCTAGCCTGTAGTGTAGCAAAGCGAATTAGACACAGAGCCTCAAGGTGTGATGGAAGCAGGTAAACAGGCAAAGTACAAAAGCATGTTTTGTTTGAGTGCCTTTGCTTCTGCTCCTGCCCCCAGAGGCAGTGCCAGCTTGCCTCATGTACTCAGCCAGTGGCTTTGCCTGTTCAGAGTGATCCAAATTTGCCCAAGGGCACTGAAGATGTCATTTTTTATACTTCTGGATCTGAATTAAGAGCTTGGTACTTTCTGTGAACTGGTATGTCAGGCTCTGAGTTTCTGATCCTGGCTTGATTGGTTTCCTAAGGCCTTGGACCTCCAGTCTCGGATACTGAAGCGAGTTCCACTGGAGCAACCAGAAATGATCCCCTCCCAGAAGCAACTGGCAGCCTCTATCTGCATCCAGTTTGCAGAGCACTACCTGGCAGAGAAAGAGTATGACAAGGCGGTACGGTCTTATAAGGATGTCTTCTCCTACTTGCCCACTGACAATAAGGTGAGTGACCCTCAAAGCAAGAAGCTGCTTTCTCCCTCAGGGCACAATGCCTTGCTGAGTTCCCTGACCAGGTGCAGGGGCCAGTTCCTTCTCCATTCTTCCCTGAGGAGTCACAGATATGATGGGCATGGGAAGCCGGCTAACAGTGGCCTCTGGGGTAAGGTGCCTGCTCCTGCTGACCTGGGACCTCACCTGCTGCAGCCCTTGGAGCAAGGCTCACCTTGCATAGCCAAATGTGAAGGGTATAGTGGGAAAGACATTGCTGAAAGTCACATTAGTCTGACATTTTCAAGTCCCCCTTGGAGGTGGGGAGATGATGAGGGTTGTAGCTGCCAGGGCACTTTGGGCATGAAGTGCAGGCTGAGCTTCCAAGAGGGCCTAGAGTTGTGAGGGAGGTGTGGCTCCAGATAAGGGAACCGTAGTTGGAGTTCATGCCAACACAGTAGATGAAGAGCTTAGTGACAGATCCATTCATTCATTTAATACTCATTCATTTAACAGATACCTAATCTAATATGTGGCAAGTACTGTGCCTGGCTCTGGAGACACAGTGGGGCAAGGCTTGGTCACTGCCCACAGATTACCCTTGGGTAAGGGCATGTAGACGAGAGCACAGGCAGCACTAATGCCAGGCAATACATGCCTGCATGGGGGTGCAGGGCACCACTTGGAGGAATGGTACCTGCCCCAGAATCTGGGGCACAGAGGACTCTCAGAGCAGTGAGGCCAGAGTTGAAGCTGAAGGATGAGTATGTGTTAGCTTGGCCCAACTTTCAGAGGTTAGTAAGACACAGGGTATGACTGGAGAACTGAGTGGGAGAAGGGGAAGGCCAGAGATGTTCACTTGGGGAATCTGAGACATATTTTGAAAGCAGAGCTGATAGAAGTGGGGTGTGAGGAGAAGAGCTGTCAAGGATGATCCCAGGGGTTTCCCATGGTGTTTACTAGTTAGTTTATTATGTCCGGCCTTGTCCCAGGTGATGCTGGAGCTGGCGCAGCTCTACCTGCTCCAGGGGCACCTGGACCTGTGTGAGCAGCACTGTGCCATCCTCCTGCAGACTGAGCAGAACCATGAGACTGCTTCTGTGGTAGGAAGCCCCCAGTACCCACTCCCTCCCTCTCTTCCTCCCTTCCTCCCTTCCCAGGGTCCCTGTGACCAGATGCAGGCTACTTCCTAGCCCCATAGCCCCATAACCTCAGATGCCTCACTGACACACCTCTGAGGAGCTGTCAGGCAGAGGACTCAGTGCTGCACCTACTCTGCCCTTTAGCCGGAAGGGGTGGGCTGGCTGGCAGTGGGCAGCATCAACCTCCTGGGCCAGTCTAAGGTAGGGTGAGGTTGATTCATCCCAGGGGAAAGCACATCCACTGTAGGTGAAGGCAAGGGTGGGATAGGTTCCTGGGGCTTCAGGAAAAGCCCTCCCCAGTTCTGCCTCTCTCCTCCCTATCATCCAGACCTCCTCCGGGCTGGCCCAGGAGCAGAAGCTGAGCCCTTGCAGAACAAGGAGGGGTCCTCATCCCTACCTCTATTGCCTGGCAGTTCTCAGAATGGGTGGAGAGGCTTTCCCTGTAGGCTATCAAAAAGCCCCACTGGTCTCTACCACTGGCCTTACCTTCCCACATCCATCCTCAACCCAGCTCTTCTTGCCCCCCACCTTGGGAAGTCCTCACCTTCTGGGTGGGGGCCTGAGAAACCCTCAGGCTTCTCCTGTGGCAGCTTCTCACAAGGCCTGGGGAGGCTGCCTTGCAAGTCCTTTTCTACCTTCCCTTCCTACCACCACCATCACCCCCATACCCCCCGCCTCCCCTTACACCCATGCAAGCTGCCACTGTTGGGAAATCTGGAGCTTGTGTGTTTTCTGATAGTTGATGGCTGACCTGATGTTTAGAAAACAGAAACATGAAGCGGCCATCAATCTTTACCACCAAGTCTTGGAGAAAGTGCCAGGTAATTCTGCCCGTGGAGACTGCCTGCACCAGTTCCCACTGAGCAAGGGCCACTCTCCCAGAAAAGGGTGGGACCTCTCCCTCCTTCCTGACTGGGCGGAGGAAGCCCCTTCCTCCCTGATTGTTCCAGAGAAGCAGGAAACTGATAAAGACCCAATGGAACGTGCCGGCCCTTCCCGAGTCTAAGGGGCCAGTTCCTGGTCTCAAGGACTTGGCACTGGACCCAGGACAGCATGTCTGTCCCCAAATCACAGCCAGTGGGGCTCGACACAGTCCCCTTTTGAGGTCACAGCCACTTGGAGAGACTAGAAATTCTCCTCTGTTGTATAGCTTCATTCCCATTCACTGCAGCATAAAACCACCACTTCTTGCTGGGGAGAGGGGCCAGACCTAAGGCTCAGGTTGGAGCCCTGGCAGGCCCATGGCAGTGTGCCCATAGGCCCAGGAGGTCACCATGGTTAGGAGTATGGGTCCTGGGGCCAGGCTGCCTGGGTCTGAGTCCTGGTCTACCACTTACTGGTTGTGCAACTTTCGGCAAATTATTTATCCATGTCTCAGTGTCCTCATCTGTAAAACAGATACAGTAAGAGTACCTACCTAGGCCAGGAGCGGTGGCTTACGCCTGTAATCCCAGCACTTTGGGAGGCTGAGGTGGGCGGATCACGAGGTCAGGGGATTGAGACCATCCTGGTTAACACGGTGAAACTCTGTCTCTATTAAAAATATTAAAAAATTAGCCGGGCATTGTGGTGGGCACCTGTAGTCCCAGCTTCTTGGGGGGCTGAGGCAGGAGAATGGCATGAACCCGGGAGGCGGAGCTTGCAGTGAGCCAAGATCGTGCCACTGCACTCCAGCCTGGGCAACAGGGCAAGACTCCGTCTCAAAAAAAAAAAAAAAAGGATTAGGTACCTACCTAATCTTGCAGTTAATGTATAGGTGAAGCACTTAATACCAGGTACAATATAAATGCTATGTAAGTGTTAGCTGCTATTCTTTACTATTTTTAAGCATTAGTATTATTCTTTACTCAACCCTGGAACTGTTGGAATGTCCCTGCTCAGCCCAGATGGGCAGTATCTCTTGGCCTCTCCTAGGGGCCCAGCACCCTCATCTGATACAGCTACTGGGCATCTCAGCCTGGAGATTTCTGTCTCTTATTTTAGACAATTTTTTGGTATTGAATAAATTAATCGATCTGCTAAGAAGAAGTGGTAAACTTGAAGACATTCCTGCCTTTTTTGAATTGGCCAAGAAGGTGTCCAGCCGGGTGCCTTTGGAACCAGGGTTCAACTACTGCAGAGGTATCTACTGCTGGTGAGTTGGGTGTGGTGTGTTGAGGGGCAGCTGTGTGCAGGAAGCCCTACTGGCAGATAGGCTAGGCCCTTGCGCTGCACAAAGGGAGCGGAAATTCTGCCTCCAGGACACCCAGGCCCAGCAAGTGAGGGCCCACAGGGGCAGAGGTGGAACCCTTCGGAAGTCGGGGAGAGCCTGCAGCCTCTGGATGGAGGCCAGGTGAGGGCCACTTGGGCAGGCCACTGGCCTGCATCCGACACCCAGGTCCGACGCCTGCGTCTCCTCCAGAGGAACTGGGAAACCAGCGATCCAGCCTCTGCTTTGTGCAGACTCACAAAGTGGCCCTTGTATATCTCTGCCCTGTCTGGGCCTCAGTTTCCCTCACTGATTCTTGGTATTTTCTCCACTACAGGCACATAGGGCAGCCCAACGAAGCCTTAAAGTTCCTGAACAAGGCACGCAAGGACAGCACTTGGGGCCAGAGCGCCATCTACCACATGGTGCAGATCTGTCTGAATCCAGACAATGAGGTTGTGGGCGGAGAGGCTTTTGAGAACCAGGGGGCCGAGAGCAAGTAAGGGCCCGTGAAGGCAGAGGCGGAACCCTGGGGAAGTTAGAGAGAGCCTGCAGCCTCTGGGTTGAAGCCAGGTGAGGGCCACGCAGGCAGGCCACCTGCCTGGGTCTGACACCCAAGTCTAACGCCTGCAGCTACACAGAGAAGAAGGAGTTGGAACAGCAGGGCGTGAGCACCGCCGAGAAACTGCTGCGTGAGTTTTACCCGAATTCAGCCTCCAGCCAGACCCAGCTGCGGCTGCTGCAGGGCCTCTGCAGGCTGGCCACCAAGGAGAAGGCTAACATGGAGGCTGCACTGGGCAGCTTCATCCAGATAGCGCAGGCTGAGGTGCGGCTGGTGGGGACTGGCGGGCATGGGCAGGTGGCAGGGCTGAGGCTGACCAGGCGGCCAAGGCATGCTGACGTCCATTTCCCACCCGATGTGTAGAAGGACAGTGTCCCTGCCTTGCTGGCCTTGGCACAAGCCTATGTGTTCCTGAAGCAGATCCCCAAGGCACGTATGCAGTTGAAGCGCCTGGCCAAGGCCCCCTGGGTGCTGAGTGAGGCTGAGGACTTGGAGAAGAGCTGGCTCCTGCTGGCCGACATTTACTGCCAGGGCAGCAAGTTTGACCTCGCCTTAGAACTGCTGCGGCGCTGTGTGCAGTACAACAAGGCAAGGGGCCACACACACACTGGGGCTGCAGGGTGGCAGAAAGGGTTCTAGGCATTCCAGGAAGGTGAAGCAGGCTTTGCAGGCAGAGGTCATATGGAATAACTAGTCAGGAAGAGGCAGGCTGAGAGGGGCACATGGGCAACAGACCAGAATAGGAATGAGGATCAAGGGCAATGGACTAGGTAAGAGGAGGTACACAGGGTCGTGTCATGTCCAGAGGAGGGAACACTAAATGACAGAAAAAGATGGGAAAGTTTCAAGGGTTCCAACCTGGAGGGACTTTTGCAGGTCAGAGCAGGCCAGGAATGGGAGTGGCGGAACAGGAGGGCTGCAGGGAAAGGGGTTACACCAGTGTCTGGGGTAGCTGAGAGGAGGGCACACAGTTGGCTTCTTGCAAAGGTTGGGGTACCCCGAGGTCCCTTGGCAGTTTGGTTTATGGCAGCTCACTTCTGTCCCTTGCCTGCTTCTGGTTCTGGTCCTAGTCCCACCCTGGCCCAGGGAACCAGCAGAGGCTCTAACTGGCTTTCCCTGCAGTCCTGCTACAAGGCCTATGAGTACATGGGCTTCATCATGGAGAAGGAGCAGTCCTACAAGGATGCAGTCACCAACTACAAACTGGCCTGGAAGTACAGTCATCACGCCAACCCTGCCATTGGTAAGGCAACCAGCCAGGGTGCACATGAATGGACATGGGAGGGAGGTGGGCAGGAGGATCCCCACCATGACCCCAGAACTCAAGGCCTGTACCCTGGCCGTTATGAGAACCATAGGGGTTCTCAGGTCACCAGGGTGCCACCATCTATGCTCTCCATGCCCCTGGTAGGCTTCAGACTTGCTTTCAACTACCTGAAGGACAAGAAATTTGTGGAGGCCATCGAAATCTGCCACGATGTAAGCCAGCAGTCTTGGCGGGGAGGGCCTGGTGTAGTGGTAGGGAACCCTGCCTGATACTGCATACCCATTCTCTGTTCCAGGTCCTCAGGGAGCACCCCAACTACCCCAAGATCAGGGAGGAAATTTTGGAAAAGGCCCGAAGGTCCCTGAGGCCCTAGCTGGGGTCAAGGGGCCTGCGGTAGAAGCCATCAACCTACTGAAGTTATGTGGAAGGATGGAAAGTGGGTCAGTGGAGAAGGGATTCAGAAAATGACACCTTCTTCCCCATTACTAGAGTGTATGTGGTTTATTTTGAATCATGTTTCATCTGACCTAAGGGTCATCCCAAAGCTTTATGTTTTTAAGGCACAAGAAATGTTGCTCTGGGAAGAAAGACATCAACTGGCTTAACTTTTGCTGGGCTCATTGGGTGCTTTCTAACAGACCTCGCTTTTATCCCAGACTCTTTGAGGGGGCAAAGGGGAGCAAAGAGGGGGCTTCTAGTGGAATGGTGGTAGAAAAGGATCCCCTTCAGCTATTTTTCAATGGTTGTTGCCCTTCTCCTGTCTGGTCTCCAGGATCCTGGAGCTAGAGAAGCAATTACTCCTCCCTTCCATGCTACCCTCTGAGTCTGCCTGGCGGTGGGCCCAGGATGCTGTGGGCAGTGTGCCCAGACAGGAGGATCAGCTGCAAAAGGTCCTGTGTGAGAGGGCCTGCAGGGTGCAAGGGCCATTGTCCCACCCTGTCCATGCATTGTTTCCCTTTCCCCTGCCACCTCCCCCCTACTCCCCACCAAGTCCAGCTGGCTTCTTCTGGTCCTTACCAGTTTGGGACAAACCTGACTACCCTCGCCTGGCACAAGGAAATACATTCCAAGAAAAAATAGTTCCCACTTCAGCTTTTACAAAAGACACTGGCCATCTAACATCCTACAGAAACCCTTTTAATGTCTAAGAGGGCAAATGCAGTGGTTCCTATTTAGATGAATAATGTTAACTGCAACTGGCAAGAGGGTGACAGAGGGCACCTTTGCTGTGCTCCCAATATCACTCTTCCTTGATGTCATTAAGGATGCCAATAATGGGACAGTCTGGCCTCAGGACAGTCAGGAAGCCTAGGATCTCCGAATGTGGACTTCCCAGGTCCCTTCCCCTCTCTGGGTCTTAGTGTCCCCATTTGTGGCAGGAAATTAGATGTCTCCCAAATCATGGCACAACTCTCTGCCAGTGATATACAGCAAACATTTTAAAGTTTAATAACGGTGTGCTTACACATCATTTTTACATAGAAAACCAAGTAGCACAGCAAAGTCAGGAATTTACGGGTGCTGTTCCATGGGATGGGTTTAACTTTTAAGCATACTGATATAGTTGAAGAAAAATTATTTAGAGTAAGTAGAATGCAGATATGGGCAGAGTTTTCAAGAGCAGTTGTCCAGTGACTAAGGTTTGGGAACAGTGGACAGATAAGGGTCCCTTTGGAACAGTGTAACTCGGATGGCTGCTGAGCCTCGTTTTTATAACACACTGCTGATCACATGTATGGTTTGTTGATAGAAGCTGGGGATCTGGAATGCTTTCCCCAGGTTACTACTATCTTTCCTATGGGAAAACCCAGTCCCCTTTCTGTGATCTGCTTTACAACCCAGTTTTGTTGGGACAGGTTTGTTGACAGGTCTATCTATATGGAGAATGATCCTGTAAAGGGATTGTGTATTAATCATGTTTTTGCTGTAAAACCTAGATTGTCTTCATTTATCTAAAAACAAAGAAACAAAAACTAAGAACCCTGTGGCCCTAGATGGGACTAGGCAGGCCTCTGTCCAGCCTTGGGCTGAGTCCATGGGGTGGAAGCCTGTTGGGGCTTCCTGCCAGAGTACTGGAGCTGAGGGCTGCCACCCAGACCACCAGGCCAGTCAGAGTGACCCTGAGAGCCCTTGGAAGAACCCAGGTTTTGGACTGTGCATGCTGAAGTAATCTCTACAAAAGGGTCTCCAGGCACCAGTGAAGAAGAAACAGGACAACTTAGTGTACCGGGGCACTTTGCCCTGAGAAGACAAAGGCCTAGCTATTCCTAGCTAAGCTGGTTACAGGGACATACTGCCCCACCACAGGCCAGATTCCAAAGCATGAGTCCTCTAATGGCACTGATACAGCCATGTGGTCATGTCCATGCATGTCCAGAGGCAAGAGATAGATACCTAAAGGGTGACAGGACAGGCAAAAAAGAAAGGATTAAAGATACAGAGAAAGAATGGCAGAAACATGAAAATTGATGCAAGTTGCAAACGTACACAGGACTTGCATGTTCCAGGCACTCTTTAAGGGCTTTGTAAATATGAACTAAACAAGCTTATGAGGTGCGTAGTGTCACTATTTGCATGCAGTATCGAGGACACCCAGGCACAGAGGGAGTAATTCGCAGAAATCACCTTACTAGGTAGTAGAAAATCCAAGATTCAAGCCCAGCATTCTGGCTCTGTGCTCTTAACAGTCAAGCCAAAGAGATGAGTGAGCCCAGTACAGACCAAGGCAGGGAATTAGAGCGAGGAAACCCAAATCAGTTCTCCTCTGGCAGTTCCTCCTTCCAGGTCTTGTACAAATCACTATCATTCCTAAGGGGGAAGTCAATCTTTCTCAGGCCTCCAGACTGGGGCTCCCCAGAGCAGGGTGTGGCCTACTCCTCTGGCCTGCAGCCCAGCTGGGCTGCCAGGGACAGGTCAGACAGGTCTGGCTAGTGCAGATGGATGAGGTTCTGAGCTTCCCCCTTGCTCTTCCCACTGACCCCCTGGCTCAAGTCCTCATGGACCACAGCTGCTAAGTAAGGCCATCACCAGGCCTTGACCAGGCATATCCCCTTGCCCTGCCTCCATCCAGGCTGGTGAATTCACCCTCAGGACAAGGCCTCAGCTCAGTGTGGGTGTGTAGGAAGAAGGGTGCCCTCAACCATCCCCAGCAGATGGCCCCCTGTCAGAAGACCCTGTTGCTGCTCCTCCCCACCACCCCAGGTCACCACTGTAGAGGAACAGGTTAATCCAAAGGAAAAAGTGCTCTATCTGCCTGGTCAGCCTCTCAGCTGGCTTCCTGCCTCCAACTTGACTGGCTTGCCTGGAAAGAGGCCCAATATGCTGGGTATGCCTACTTCTACCCCCCGACACAGCCTGTGTCCATACTGCCCTCTACAGGGCTTGTCCCCCCATCCCCAATTCCCCTGAGGGTGTACCCCTGCTTCCCACCCCAGAAATACAGACCACATTGTTAAAAATAAAGCCTCTTTATTGGTACCTGTAAGCTCAGGTACAAGGTGTTCCCATAAGCACACAGGCTGGCAAGGCCTCCTGGGCAAGGGGGCAGGCCCAGAGCCTGCGTTTCTTGGCACTGACACAGAAATGGAATAAATTATAGTTTTGACACTCAGGGACAATGTAGAAATTATGATGCAAAATTAAACATTAGCAAACAAAGGGTATAAAAGCCCTCAGGAGCCACCCCTCACCAACTGGCCTCAGGGCATGGGCAGGTGGGCCAGGCCAAAGTGCAGTGCCCAGAAAGCCCTGAGATAATAGTCTGGGGCATGGTTCGCGCCCGAGGTAGGCCCTTTGCCCTCTCTGGGCCTCCTGTTTCCTCCTTCCCCCTCCTACATCCCTGGGCCTGGAATAAAGGCTACGGCCTTTGGGGAAGGGGAAGATGGAACAGAGGGCAGGAAGTGGAGGGGGCAGGGTGGGGCAGAAGGGAGTTTTGGTCACAGCTGGTTAGCCCAGCCTCTCCCCCTGCCTAGATGATGTCCTTGGCCAGCACCTGCCTGCAGAGCCATCCAGGAGCCAGGCAGCAAACATAGATCATAGAGCTCAAATCCACACCCAGTCTGCACCAAAGCCCAGGCAGGGCAAGGTGTAAGACTACAAGGCAAAAGGGGCTCCTTGAGGGCCTGTGCCCACCCCACCCCGGCACTACCCACCAGCCAGAGAGGTGCAACCAAAGCCTCCTCAATCTCCAAATAAATTATGGAAATAAATTATAGTCTTCACAGTCCAGAGGATTTAGCCACCCATGGGTCTAGGGCTCAGCATGGCAGAAGCCACCTGATTTCAGCCCTGTCTCACCGTCTTTGGGCTAAGGAACATCATGCAAAGACCGAAAAGTGGTCTGCCAAGCTCCAGAGGAGCCACATTTTCTCCTCTTCCAGGCTCACATTGTGGAGATGGAAGAGCAAACTGTGGGTGTGGGGGTCCGGGCAGCTGAAACAGGAAGCCCCTCCCCCCAATCCTCTCTTCAGTACAGAAAAGTTAAAACAAATAAATAAACCCAGAGAACTGTATGAAAACCAGGAGTGTGCGCATGGCACCTGTGAGTGAGCCAGCCAGTGGGAGACTGTTACAGAGACTCTGGGGAGCCCCACAATTACAAGAAAGCAGCAACAGGTCCCTTGGGGCTGGGAAAAGGCATCCTGGTCCTCACACCAGCACAGGCTCCATTAGAGATGCTGGGACAGTGTCCTCAAACTGGCTGTCGATAAAGGGATCTAGGGCTTCGGCGACTGGCTCGGAGAAGCCCATGAGGGACTCCAGGAAGCAATTGCTGGCATCCCCAGGTGGAGAGAGGCCAGGCAGGGGGAAGTGAGGTGCCTCGATGTGGTCCAGGCTGTCAGACACCTTCTGTGATGTGTAGTGAGGCCCCAGACTATAATCTGGCAGAGCCTGGAGTAACTCAAAGGAGTCACAAGAAGACAAGCTGAGATCCACTGAGCTACTCTGGCCAGCGTCCATGCTGGGTGGCACTAAGTTGCCAGGAAGGCTGCCTTCTCTTGACCCTTCAAGGCCACCATTTAGGAAGCAGCTGGCATCGAGATTGGCATTTTCATCCAGGATGCCCGATGTGAAGCTACAGCCAGAATAGCTATGGGTCCAGCTGGCCAGGCCACCAGGGTCACTAGTACCAAAGATGTCAGCTGGATGGAAGCAGCTGAGGTTGTCCAGGTTCCCCACACTCCCTTCCTCCTCTTCCTCCTCCTCCCCGCCGAGGTCAGAGTCACTGAAACTCAGGATCCGTGCCAGGCTGTCGTCATCAACGCCAGGCTGGAAGCCAGGGCCAGGCAGGCCTGGGTGGGTAGGGCCGTCAGGAGCCTCACTAGTGCCTGATGCTGAGGAAGATGCCGTGGAAGAATCAGTCATGTCGCTGCTGCAGCTGTTGTCTCCCAGCTCATTGTTCATGGGGGGCTTGGCCAGTGGGAAAGCAGGGACCAGGGCCTGCTCACCAGGGCTGGGTGGGCTGCCCTGGGCAGGGGCCTCTAGCTCCCTAAAGCTCTCAGCCTCCTGTTCCAACTGCAGGCGGGTGAGTGTGTGGATGAAATGGGTCTGAACTCTCGCCTGATTAAATTCCACACGGCCCATGGGGTTCTCACAGCCCTCCCTGCAGCAGCCACAGGGGAATGCTGTGTGGTCCATCTGCACAGAAAGTAGAGGTACAAGTGAGGATTACCGTGGAGTACAAAGAAGTCCCCATGCTCAGGTTCCCCATCCCAGCCCAGTCCAGCCACCACACCTGACACTTGATGCCTGCTAGGCTGCAGCTGCAGGTCTCAGGGTCGCAGATCCTATCGCAGTGACAGCCACAATCCTCCCGGGATTGGCGCAGTGCCTGCAGCTCCCGCTTCTCCTCCCGATCGATCCTTCGCACGCCCGAAGCCCTCAGCAGAGCTCGACGTCGCCGGGCTGGGTAGGGCTGTAGGAAGCTCACTTCTTCCAACCGGCCACCTGCCACAGCGACTGCCAAGTCCTCCTCCACAGAGGCATCATCAATGGCATCCACCGCAGGTGGTAGCCCTGCCTCTGCCTTGGGTACCCCGGCTGCCGAAAGCTGCATCCACAGGAAAGAGGTATGTGAGAGGTACAGACGTGGACATGGGCTTAGCCCTACTGTCACTAGACAAACCCTCCCCATGTGCTTACCCTCCCACTACTCATGCTTAATCTGTGATGGGCACTGTGTGTAGACAGTGAACAGGACAGCCAAGAATACAGTCCTCAGGGCATTTGGGAAAAAAAAAAAAAAGAGATATCCTACTCATGGCATTCTCTAGATCATGGACAGACTCCCTTTCCTAACCAGACAGATACGCACCCCCCTAATTCATATCAGCTTCACATCCCCCTCTCCAAAAAGTTCAAGTTCAGATTCAGGTATCATGCCCCCAGCCCCTGCAGCAAATAGACACAAGCCCTCCTCTGTGCCTCCTGTTTGCAGACAACCCAGGCAACAGACTCCAATCAAGCCAATCACTAGGCCCACAGGCCTGTTTCCCCATATACATAATGAGCAAGTCAGCACCCACCCCTGGTACACCCACCCCTCGAGGTTAGAACTCCAGGAACTGCCTTAGGAGGTGGGCCACGGAGAGGGCTCTCTCTACCTTCCACTGCAGCATCTCCAACTTCTCCTCTTTCAAGCGCTGGCGGAGCTTCTCGTGCCGTGCACGGGCTTGCTCCTGTGCAAACTCAGCCAAAGAGAAGTGGCGGCAGGCACTGTGGCGAGGGGCCATACCCAGAGTACAGCCACCACGGCTGGGCACACTGGTGAAGCCCTGGCAACGGGGAAAGTAGAAGACGGTGATCCCATCAAAGGCTACACGGCCTGGGCGCTCCCGGCGAGCCCGCTTCAGGATAGACAGGGCTGGAAAGCAGGCAAAGATGCTGGGTATTAGTTTTCAGTGAGGCACAACATACCTCCAGGAAGATCATGCCAGACTGCCCTCCCGCCTCCCGCCTTCCCCCTCCTCCCTCTCCGCCCACTTTGAAAAAAGAAATGTGAATTTAGGAGCCTGTGTGGCTGGGACTGGAGCAGCTGAAACTGAACATCACACCCATGTCAGCACTGGCTTATTGTTATTTTCCAGTTTAAATGACAGTATTTGTAAGATTAAACATCTCTGCTATGTTTATTAGCCATGTACAGGTCCTTTGTACAGTTTTCTATTGTTTTTTATTGATTTGTAGGATTTCTGTGTTCTGCAACAGGCTTAAAAAGGCTTTCCCTTTACAAGTTAATGTTTATTGATTAGTAAGCTACGTACTGGTATTTTCATTAGGTTGAACCATAATAAATTACCATGTAATGGTGAAATATTGGAAATTCCATATATTTCAACTTACTGTATTAATTTTATACCCAGCTACCAGGGGGAATTCCCTTCTAAAAGGTTTTCTGTTTATACTGTTAGATCACATGTGCTAAAAATGATATTCTTTTTATGTGTAATGCACAGATATACATACAGTACATAAAAAGGTAAACAGCACATCTATTGTATTAAAATTTCATGGTGGGGGTGGAAATTAAGGAGAAAATGTCTTAATAGGCTTCCTGGGGAACAATAATGAAAAATAAGGTCCAGAAACACTGCTCTAGGGCCACGTTCGTCAGTCTGGAATCACAATTATGCAAGCTTGAAAATAACCAGGAAAAACCCCTTTTCACTATGTTCAGGCAAAATGGACAGCATTGACAGGAGAGGGACCGGCTTGACAGGCCCCATGGCAGAGAAGCATGGGGCGGGCGGGGAACTCCAGTTCCATTTGTAGGAGGGTAGGGTGCTCATTGGAGAAACGAAACTGGAACAGAAGGGAGGGGCCAGACCGGGAAGGCCCTGAGGGCACTCTGGAGAGCTGCATCCTGGATGTCATTACTCCCAAGGTCAAAGGTGAATTAGCTGGGCTCAGGTGCCCCTGGACAGTGGGCACTGAGTGACCACTGTATCACAGCTCGTGAGAGCTACCTCCATGGGGACGTGACCTCCAGAGGCCAAAGGCATTTTGTCAAGGACCTCTACATTTCATCTTTCAGGAAGGAAGGCAGGTGATGGAATTCCCTGGGGAGGGAGGACTCACGGGTGAAACTTCTGGGGCCACAGAAGTCACGGTCAGGCAGGGGCATCTGATCCCAGGGGCCTTCCTCCTCTGAGTCCCAGGCACGGGAGACAGAAGAGCTTGAGCTTGGGGAGCAGGAGCGAGATTGGCACCCAGAGGAAGAAGAAGAGGAGGAGGAGGAGACCAAGGAGTTGTCCTCATCCAGCTGGTCAAATTTCCTCTTCAACAGCCCAGTCATGGTGGTGCCGGAGGTGCTCTGGGGTCTGGGGACAGACAGCCTGGAGTGGAAATGAGAAAGCTCTAAGTGGCAGGCAGGTGGGCTTCCAGCCAGGGTCATCATCCCTCCCACTGACCCTCCAAGGCATCCCAGAAACTGGCCTCTGCCCTCCAGCCCTGCCTGTGGAGCGCCGTGTGGCGGAGGACGGTCTCCAGGAGGATCTCTGCACAAGACACAGCACCTCCCTCCCTCCAAACTAATGTTCAAATCCATGGCCTGATGTGTCAAACTCCCACCTCTGCCCAAAGCCTTCCCAAGCACTAGGTACCTTCCCCACCACCTCCTACAATACACACACACACACACACACACACACACGCATCCACACCAACAGGGGAAGGAGGCAGACAGACCAACAGATGGACTGACAGACCTCAGCCTGGTCTCACTCATTCCCCAACAGGAATCCTGGGGGCTGACTCACAGGCTGGGTGATTCACACAGCTCGCATCTGTGTGCGTGTGTGTGTGTGTGTGTGTGTGCGCCCTCCAGCCCGCTCGCATCTGTGTGCCTGTGTGTGTGTGTGTGTGTGTGTGTGCGCGTGTGTGTGTGTGTGTGTGTGTGTACGCCCTCCAGCCCGCACAGCCCGCACGGCCATGGTATGGTGGCTCTGCTTCCTCCTCCTCCTCCAGCACACCCACACAGGCACGCCACCCTGCACATAGGCAGGGCTGCGGGCCCTTGCTCCAGGCTAGCCAGGCATTCTGGGGAACAGGCTGGCTTTGACGTTGGCCTCCACTCCTAGACGGAGTAGTTTCTGAGCCCTTCCCCTCCCGGTGTGGGAGCTTCTCAGACTTTCCCTTAGAAACCCCCGCTCCACTGTCAAGAAGTCTCCTGCCTCCAGGCCTGTGTGGCCACAGCCACTCAGGCTGTCTCTTTCACATCTCATTTGACCCTAATGTCCAAAGTCTCTCCTGTCTGTGGCTTCGTGACATGGAGCACCCCACAACACAACACTGTCTCCCGTGTGAGAGTCTCGGCCTTCAGCAGAAGTCTAACCAGAGACTCACTCCCACAGCTGGCTGGCCTTATCCAAGCAGAAGAGACTTGGGGCTCCCGCCCTGGAATGCTTCAGCGAATAATGGCCCTTCCCAAGGTCCGGCAAGCCCCAGAAGACTCCATCCCAAACGCTGAGTACAGCTACCTTGTGTCTGTTGCTCCAGCTGGGCCTTCGGGGAGGTCACCAGAGGGAAAGGGAAAGGAAGTTGAAGCTGAGGCCGAGGCCCCAGTGCTGGGGAACCCTTCCCCCACTGCCATCACAGGAAATGAGAGAGAACAGGAAAAACCAACCAGAAGGCTGTCTTGGTCTCCTCTACTCAGGTGTCCTTTCCAAGCACTCCTTCCCCCTCTGCCCAGCCACCTACGAAGTCCCCGAATCCTGTAGGGTTTGCTGTCAACCTTACTAACTGGATAATGTTTACCCCAGGGACAGCCTCCCCTAGGCAAGCGTGAGAGAAGCAAGAAAATCTCCCTCCCTGGCCAATCCCCCACCCTGCGCCTGGGGGAAGAAGACTCACAGATGTTTCCGGGGGCTTCTCCGTGGGTAGTTTCTCAGGCTTGGCACCACCCCCCCCCGCAGGGTCAAACCACAAACAAAAACAACCCAGCTCCCAGCTGACCTGCAGGCTCTCCCAGGAGGTGGGGGATTCATGACCCAGAGGCAGGCATACACACGTGTACACACATGCACAGACCACACGGAAACACACATATGGACAAACACCACCCACACATCCTGTCCCCATTGCATCCTGCCAAGAGACCCCATCCTTTCCCAGGTTCCAGATGCCATCTACAGGGCCGTGAACGCCTCCTTCACCACACACCCAGCCTGAGATCTCCCAGGACCCGCTGCCCACTTGGTGTCTCCGCCCAGCCATCCCCTAGAAACATAAAATTCTGCAGGCCCCAAATCGAACCCCTTGTCTCTGTTCCCCACCCCCCATGCCATCTGTTCCTCTTCCTGTGTTCCCTATCTTAGTAACAGCCCCACCACCCACCCAGTCACTCAAGCCAGAAACCTGCAGTCATCCTCAACTCCTTCCTCTCTCTCCCTCCATCTACATCCAGGCACCCCATGCCTGGGAGTTCACGTAAATCCATTTAATCCACACAAAGCCAGGGACAGACCCAGTAGGTATAATGGAGGCCACGTGGCATAGTGTTAAGAACTTCGGCTCCAGAACCAGACTACCTGCTTTTGAACTCTGGCTCCACTACTAATTGGCTGGGTAATCCTGGGCAAGTTCCTTAACCTCTCTGTGCCTCCAATTCTTTGTCTTAAGACCTCATAGGGTTGGGAGGTTGAGAAGCATCAATACACGTCACATGTTCTTAGATTAGTGATAAGTGCTCAGTGAATGTGTTATTCCACACTGGAAAAAAAAAAAAAAAAGAGCTCCAGCTCCTGGATGCACACGACACAGATGCATCTCACAGACATCATGCGGAGTGAAAGAAGCCAGACACAAGATATATGCAAATGTTCAAAAAAAAGGCAGAACTACTCCGTGATGATATAAGTCAGAGCAGTGGTTCCCCAGGGGAGGGAGAAGGACACCCTGGAGACAGTCATGAGGGAAATTTTCTGGGGTCGGGGATAGGAAGGGCTGGGGGACCTGTAAAAGTTCTATGTTCATCTGCAGGGTGGTTACATGGAACTCTAAAATTGTAAACATTCATCTTATGGACACATACGATTTATATACTTACGCATTTAGGTTACTATCAATTTAAAACGTTACTAACCTTAACATGTCTCTGTCCCCACAGCAGCTACCCCATGTCCCTCTGCTCCTGCCCTCTTTCCCCAGCCATTCTTGATCCTACAGCCAGAATGACCTTCTTAAAGCACACATTTACCTGCCACTGCCACACCTAGAACCACTCTATAGCCTCTATAGCTCCCCTTGGGGAAGCTTGACATTAAGATCAAGTCCAGAATTCAAAAAGCCGAAGCTGACCTGGCCACTGCTTCCCTCTCCCCACCTTGCTCTCTATACTCCAGCTGAACTTGCAGTTCCCACCATGGCGCTCACCTCCTGGCCTCTGCAAAGCTGGAACAACCCAGCCTCATTCCCTTTCAGAAAGTCATCTTTTGAGGGGCCTCCTGACTCTCCTACTCCTTCCTCCTGCCTCTCTGCACTCCTGCTAGGGACTGAATATTTGTATCCTATCAAAATTCTTATGTTGAGACTGAATCCCCAGTGTGACGGTATTTGGAGGTGGGCCTTTGGGGGGTAATCAGGCCACGAATGATACCTTATTAGCACCTTTATAAGAAGTGACACAAAAGAGATGGTCTCCCTCTCCAACATGTGAGCTCAGACCCAGCATGAAGGTGTGCATCTGCAAGCCAAGAAGAGGGACTTCATCAGGCTGACTGGAGCCTTGATCTTGGATTTTGCAGCCTCCCAAGGTGTGAAAAATAAATCTTTTGTTTAAGCCACCCAGTCTGTGGACTTTCTATTACAGCAGCCCAAAGTAAGACAGCTCCCAAAAACCCTGGTATTTCCCCATCACAGACTTTATCTGATCAGACTGCAGGGGCCTCATTGCTCATCTGCCTCACGCTGAGGGCATCTCTGTCTGGCTGCCCCTGTGCCCATGTCTAGGACAGAGTCTGGCATAGAGAGGGCACCTGATAATACCAGAGGTAAGCAGACTAGCCCTGCATATCGGGTATAGACCCAATTGCACAGGCAATCTTATGCACATGAGGTTGCTGAGGGCGACTGGTCACTGTGACCTTCTCCTGCTCCTGTCACAGTTAATTTAAGAGGGGCAGGAGGAGAATCACATGTCTATCCCCCAGCTGTGCCAGAGGGTACAAGCAAGAATGGTGCTCAAAAGGGGTGGCTCTGAGGGCAACAGAGGGAAGCTCAGGCTGCAGGCAGGTGCCAATGTACGCAATCCCAGGAGGCTCCCCGGTTCCCCAAGAGGTACCAGATGGAGAGACATGTCAGGAAAGCAGGCTCAGCCACACACTGCGGCTCTGCCTAAGGGATGTCCACAGAAAGAGAACTTAAGGTGAGGAGGTTATGACCTCCAAGCTACAGACAGGGAAACAGAGACACAGGGAAGCTACAGTCATGCCGCAGGTTCTAGTGATGAACAATCCCTTCCAAATCTGCAGCGCAGGAATGAAATGAGAAATTACCTCCTCCCTGATACTCCTTCTGGAGAGGCGGGGGAAGTGCCCCTGGTTCTCGTGTTCCTCTGTTCCACGTGGGAATCCAGAGGCTAAGAGGCAGAGGCAGGAGATGAGACAAAAAGACTGAGCCAGAGACAAGGAGAGGCCAAGAGGGAATGAAAGATAGTGAGAATCTAAGTGTCAGACAGTGAGTCAGAGGTGGGGGGAGGGGCCCTCAGCAGCTACCCAGGAATCAGGATTCTGACCATGGCAGTGTTCCCAGGGTGAGCACAGGCCCCTCCCTAGGGTCCTGGAGGAAGGAAAAGCAGTTCCCAGGAGCTGGCTTGGACAGAAATACCTCACCGCCGAGGAACCCCAGAGACAGGCCCTGAATCAGAGAGCCAGGCTTCTTCTGGGATCTGAGCCCTGACAATTGGGCAGCCCTCCTGCCACCACACACAGGCACTGACAACCCCCCACTCAACTGGCCACGGTTATCCACACACTCAGGTCACACTATGCGAATCCAGGAAAGGCCACCTCACCCCTGGGCACCAAGCAACCAAGGGCTGTTTTCGAGAAGTGGGGGCGGGGCTTGAAAAAGTCACAGCAACTCCTCTGTCCACCTCGGCAGTCCCACCAGTGCCCCAGGCCTCAGCCCAAGCCAGTCTTAGGGAGGGGGCACCTTTAGCTGCCTCCATCCCCCTTCAGGAATCTGAAGAATGTGTCCTTTAACCTCTGAGCCCCAGGCCTTGGCCAGTGCCCCCAAAACACTTGGGGTCACATGACCCCTGTCCCTCAGGAACAACTTCCTGGGAGAAGGGGAGGGCACCTCCCAGCACCTCTAGTCCCCACTGAAAAACCAGCCTGGGTGGCCCAGAGAGGACAGACCGAAAGCCTTGGCACTTCCTCCCCAAGCATCCCTCTGAAGGAGAGCTGGGGGAGGGGATGGCTCCTCAGCTTTGGCCTTCAGGACCTGGCACTGGATAGGTGCCAAATGTATGCTGGCTACATGAGGCACTTGTTCTTGCAGAAGGGACATTGCACCTGACAATGACTGCTTCCTCCACCTAAGACGGGCCTTCTTCCCTCTCTCATTCATTCATTCATTCAACAAATAGGCACCAAGCTCAACAAATACGTGCCAAGCACTGTGGCAGGCACTCGCGCATGCAGGGAGCAAGACTTACACAACTGCGGCCCTCTTGAAGCTCTGAGTTGAGCAGGGAGGACAAATAGAGTGGGTTGCTGGGATGGAGGGTCTGAAGGGTGGGACAGGGTACGGCTGGGGTGAAGGTAGGTCTCTTTGAGGAAGGAAAGTAGGCAGAGTTCCAGATAGGGACTCCGCATGGGTAAGGAACAGGAGGAGGGACCAGGAGAGTGTGATCGGAGGAGGGGCAGCCCGCGAGGCTGATCCTGGGCTCCAGGGCAGGCTTTAGCTTGAGGGCACAGCAAGCCACAGAGGGCTTAACTAGGGAGTGACAATGCCAGATTTGCATTTTAAAAACGTGGCTCAGCACCGGGAGTGGAGGGGGTGTGACCGGTTGGAGGTGCTGCCAGGGCCAGGTGAGAGGACAGGCCAAGGGCATAGGAGAAAGGCAGATACTGGGATGTGGTGAAAGAAGAGGGCAGGGCTGTCAAGGATTTGGGTCGGGGGAGGTGATGAGTTACTCTCCAAAAGGATTGAGACTTCTGGGTGGAGGTGCTGGGTGGGCAGCAGGACACGGGGAGGGACTCTCTGGTGTCAGGAGTGTGGGCTACGGCTGTGTGTGACTGTGCCAGGAGCGGGAGTGACTAAGTGTGTGACTATGGCTGTGGTGTGGGCATCTCCACAGTGCGTGCCTGTGAATGGGCCCCGGGGAGGAGAAACTGAGGAAGGGGAGGAAATACGTGCTGCGGAAGGAGGAGAAGTGCGTGGGAGAGAGTCTACGTGTGCCTGCGGGTGGCCGGTGTAGCTGCGCCCGTGACTCACAGCAGTGGCCTCTGAGAGTGACGGCGA